GCTGCAGTTGTTCTATGAAGTCGATTTTTAGAAATGTTATATGCATTCAACATTAACAAGCGTCTGTAGAGTTTCATGCAGATATCTATAAAACTATGCATATGTAAAGTATATTTAAAAAACATTAAATTAAAAATGTTACTCATACGCACCATACACCCCGGCGCATACACTTCAGCTAAGCTCAGCCTTCACATAGTAAATACACATTTGCACTACTTAAATCAATTCTAGACACACAAACAAACATAACTATATACAATTGCCAACAGCTTCCTTCCAAGCATTGTGAATTAGAGCAAGCAGAGCATTTAGTATGTTAAGACGCCATTGATAGTCTTAGCAAAACATGAACGGCGGGCGGATATGCAGAACGCCACAAGCGTTGATTTATCATCAGCGCGTATACACTATAAACGCATTGTATGTAATTAGCCGCAAACACCCGCTAACGCGCACTCTAACACACACCCACATACACACACGCATACACACACATACACACATACGAACAAATGAATAACAGCATAACACAAACAGATATTTGTAAGACAATTTACATATATTTTTAGCTAATTATCTGCTCAACACACTCAGGCGCCACACATAGATACATATATCAGGCAAAACATGCCGACAATTGCGTACCTACCTACCTGCCGTTTACTGTTATTTATCATCTTATGCCCGTTTCCTTCGGAGGTGTTACTTACTGGTTGTTGTAGTTGCTGTTGTTGTTGTAAGCGTAGTTGGCATCGTTTTGTGGTTTGTTGTTATTATAGTTGTTGTTGTTTATCACCTTCTTTTCCGCAACACTCATCACTCCTACACACACAAATAAAATACATACAAGCTACGTTGACTTTTTAACCTAATAACGTTAACTTTCTTAATTAATTTCATTGACACAGGCTATTTATGCCTTGGTCTCGTTTGTGTGAAAGTGGTTTGTGGTATTAGCTGTAAACGTGGGAGCGTAGGCAGATTAGAAATACTTAAATATTATTCTTTAATACAGCCTTAGCCTTTGAAAGCTTCACCCTTTTCAGTGCTTTCTTAGAAAAGCTTTTCAAAAAATATTTAAAATACCTACATATTTATTTGAGGGGTATAGAGATGACATGGTTTAGAGAGAAACATTTGTTTATTTCTTATATTCAATGCAAAGGCATTGGAAAAAGTGCCTTGAAATATAAAAAATAAAAAATGTTGAATGTTATTTCATATCTTAAAGATACATAACTCAAAGTGAAGTCAAAACGTATCAACTAACTCTTCAAAAAGCTTAGGAGAATAAAAGGCTATCAGGAGATACTTCGCGATTTTGTAATGTGTCAATGTGGCTTGTTGTCGGCAGATGTTGTACCATATTTTCCTCCGGTTTCCGCCCTCGACATACTGAAATCTGATATATGAATTGGACAGACAGGAGGCTCTGGTTTATGCGTTGAGTCTGTCTCGTCAACTCTAAACGATCATTTCCAAGTCATAATAAGCCTACTAATATTAGACAAGCTGGCCTTCATATATACATGTGTCTGCAGCTTCAAATTAGCAGATTTCGTAGCTGGAGCCACTTCTGCTGCAAAATTATACACAAACAGGTAAGCACTCTTGCTTCACTAACATATTATTAACTAAGAGGAGCCATAGCTCCTGGCTGGACCTATTTAAAAGTGCCTCGTTATCGAAAAATGCTCTCACAGCATTCTGTTCGTAACTGAAGCCTTCACACGTCAATGCAATTAGAAGAGCGGCGTTGGGCACCTATAAACAAATTCTGAAGCGCCTCCGAATGACTGTTGTATTTTTATGAGTCAGAGATGCACTCACAACCCTCTCATGTCTTGGTAGTATGCACTGCTAACCCCTCGGCTATGGAATACATAATTTCCTTTCAAAACATCTGACTCGAATCTTCATGAATAAAACATGCTCATCCTGAAAAAGTATTTATTTATAAATTATGCACGAATTGAGGTAAATAAGTATAGCCTAGTAAAAAATTGCCGAATATTTTTTCAACACATTTTCTTATTTTTTAATTTTTGAATTTTTGTATTTGCTTTAATCAAATTTAGCCGACGTGCTAATATTTTCTGTGTACTTCTCACTATCAATAGGTGTCATGGCAGTATGAATTTATCTATTCATAACCACACCAAGGGAAAAAAGGAAAATCCACCAGTTAACGGTATACACGTAAACTTTTCTTAAGCTAATTTTGCACATTGAATTTGACACGTCTTCCACTTGGCCACATTGGCCTTAGTATGCAACACACTCGACCCAACTGTCAACTGAACTAGTTGCTTATTCACCTAACTAACGACATCCACCGACTGTTGAACACTCCAACAACAACAACAACAACAACGACAGTAAAAGCAAAAGCAATAACCAGGCGTTGGTAGTAAGCAAAATGAAAGTAGTTTTTACTTACTTTCTTTTTACTCTCGCGCACTTTTTCATAATAAGAAATCCACTCGAAAAAGTAACACTTTTCATACATACATACATACATATATATTTACAGCACACGTTGCCGTGCGTCGAGTGGCTTAAAGCGGCAAGGCAGAATCAAAGCGTAAAAATAAAAAGTTCTGAAAGTTGCACTTTATTTCGTTTTAAAATTCAAATTATTCAACAAAGCGGCGAAAAGGTTAACTTTTCGTAGGAAAAAAAACTAAAAATATACATAAAATCTTCACTCATTTTTCAGCGAATTTATGTCCTTGAACTAAAATAATCAGCGTTACGACGCAGTCTGTGATGCCGCCAACGCCAACGCCACAACGAATACAAAGAAAAAAGTTATTGTTGCGAAAAAGAGGAAAACACCCAACAAAGTTGCACAGCAGTTATTGAGCCAGTGGCGCAGGCGATGGCGTTTGTGTTTGATGACATTGCCGTTAAAAGGTGTAAAATGCTACACAAATTATGCAAATATAAACGCTACATAGCGTACATTCAAAATTCCCGCTCATTAATCTTGGCGCTAGTTAACATTTACCGAGAAAAGCCGACGCCGCGAGACGCCTACAAAGGTTGTGCCGGCGTTGTGTTGCTGCTACCGCGGCAGGCTGCTGTTGACATTTTGTCATGGCGCCCCTCTATGAGACCCAAAAAAAACCTTCCTGTATTCATCATATACATACTTACATGCCTGTGCGCGCATGTGTGGGTGTTAAAATTTATGCGAACAACTGTTGCGTCGACAGCGTGTAGCCGGATAAAAAATATATACAAAATATTCAGAGAAGTTCACTTGACGCTTGTTGCTTTGGCCAAAGGAAAATTTTCAAACATTTCAACGGAAAACCGCTTACCCCTTGTGCTCTACCCCATTTGCATGCTTCCCAATACCACTATATATCTACATACACGTATGTATATATGTGACCACATTTTTCGTGAGGTGTGAAGGCGCAGCATTTTCATTATTATTCCAACGGAAGTTGGCTGCATTTCGGTAACACATTTTTATGGCACACTTGCCGTGCACCGTACATAGAGGGGGAAGGGGAAAGAGGTAGTGCGTGAGAGCAAGCAATAATAAGGCAAAATAAAAAATTTTCCGTAATTTTTCACAAAAGCCATACTAATTTACGCCACATTAATGCTAACTTCTGCTTTTTCCGTGCATTGAGCGAGCAAGCACAGTAAACAAAAAGTATCGTCAAACATATAAATATGTATAATTATCATTTAAACATATGCAATAATGTCGCTAGGCTCTTAATTTTAAGACGGAAAATTAAAAATAATTTTTAGGTTATTTTAAAATAAAAATCTCATCGATAATGGAAAATCGCACAACAGTGGAAGATGAAAATCTCTAAAGCTGTTTTTGATATTTATTTTTTAAATATGAAATCTTTTTTTAAGTTATTACTATTATTTTATTCAATTTTTTTTTTTCAAAACAATCATGCAGATGCATAACAAACAATTTTAGCAATTACTTGCATTTTTTGGCAACCTTTATACTGAAAAAGCTGTGCCGAGGATAAGGAAAATTACATATGTACAATTTAGTACTTTTTAATTATACTTTTTCAAGATCGCCCCCAAAGGTCCTTTCTTTCAGTTTTAAGCAACAAAATGTGTCTCCAAACGCGTAAACCTTGCCTGCGTCAATTACACAGAGGATTAAAATTTAGGCATGCTTACGCAAGTATTAGTTACAGCGAGCCTTTTTCGCAGTGATCCTTTCCTGCTCACTACCTGCTTTTAGACTATAAATGGCGTGCCTGAAACCGTTATCAAATAGTTTCAATTTCAACAGCTACGAGACAATTCATCTCAACACTTTCAACGTGACACCAAATACCCTGAAATAAAATTATGGATAATATGGAATTTAATAAATTTTCGTTTACAGCTGTGGATCCGGAGGATGCAACGAACGTTTATTTTTTGTCACACTGGCGTGAGGTAAGCGAGAAAAGTGATCTTAAAGCCGCATATACTCACACTTTAACAGGTCTTGATGGAAGTAAATACTATTCGTATTCAAAGCACTGTAGGGCTCTTTACGACGAAGAAGGAAATCGATACATGAAGAAACATGTAAACTTCGAATTTGATGAGCATCCCAAGAAAATTAAATATTTGGCTTAAGCCGTGGCCTTTGCAGAACAGAACATGCTCGCGATTCATCTCTATATATCAGGAATATTTTCGAGTAGAGTTGCGAGTATTGAATGCAAGAATATGACATCAGAAATTGCGGTTTTTATCACTTTTTCTCTACCAACGAATTAAAAAACAACAACAAAAAAACAGTAGTAGATTAATACAATAATTTGAATGTTAATTTCATTTATTCGTTTTCGTAAATTTTTAAATTCGAATTATAATGCATATGTATGTATGGAAAATATGTAGCTGAACAGAATGTAGTCTAAAAAATATTTATCGATTATCTGAAAAATCAATTAAACTACTTATCATTTATTCTATTAGTTTTTAAGCAAACCAAAATTAGCCACATAACTTATTTCATTTTAAAAATAATTTTATATTAAGCTTCTTTATTACTAAAAACATAAAAAATATTTCAATAAAGTGTTCAAATCTAAAGCAATGCATTCGTCAGTTAACTAAATTATTATTATTGTATTTTATACTATCTAAGCCTACATTTCGTCGCCTTAAATCTTCTCTTCAGCAATTTCCTTCAGTTCCGCTTCCTGCTCCACTTGCAACACCTCTCGTCGTTGTCTTTTAATCCAACATAAAATATTCACCCAAATAAAACCACAAACACCCATATAGATCACACGAAATCTCGGTGCGATCAAGACGAAATTTAATGTTTGCGCTGGCAACCAGAAAAAGCAAGAGCGCGCAAATGTCGGCACGAATTTCTCACGTAACTCCTTGAAGGGATCCTCAGCCTGCTCCATCAGTGACATGCCTGAGAAAAAACAAATATATAAAAAATATATATATAAATGGGTTTTTAAATGTTTCTTGTGCAAGTTAACGATATTAACTGCATCAGTGGCTTGCAACAACTAACCTGTATAGAACACGGTAAGCAAGTAGGGTGTCAAGACAAATTGATCCAGCACCAATTTTTTCACGATGGTCTGTGTGGCAATGCCGGGAAACGTGCGATCGAGCCATTTGTACCTAATTTGGTTTTTTGGGAAATAAAGGGGCGGTAAGTATAGATAATTTTTATATTATTGAAATATCAGTTTTTCTAAATAAATGTTTTATTTATGCCGAACAGTGCTTAGGCTTCAAAATGTGCTCAAGCGCTTTCTGAAAAATTGTTTACCCATCACCAAGTAAGCTTCCTTAATCAATAATCAAATATCAATGCCATGTGCGCAGTGAGTGAATAGCTTTAGTGCTTTAATAGTAGTGCTTGCTGAAAGTTTCACAGTGACTTAATGGGTTAGCGGTAGTCAGAATTTTCAAAAAATCCAATGAATTAAGAAACTTTGGTCTGATCGAAGAAATTTCTTTTTTTACTAATTTTTTAGGCAAGTTTAAGTGTTATTTTTTCAGAAAACTCTTGACAAAATAGTATTTCAGAGCTCGCAATTAATTTTTTTAGAAGTTTCGATCAGGCAATAGATTACCTTTTTTTTGTTTTTTGGCTCAAATTTTTTTAATGAAAGTTCAAGAATTTTTGGTGACCCAGTGCAGTCAATTTTTGAACAATCAATTTTGCTTATTCTCGTGAATTCAAATCAAATCTGTATGTAAGACAAAATATATTTTTATTATTTAATTATTTTTATTTTTTAAAAGATAAAAATATTTACTGGAAAAAAATAAATATTGAAATTGAATATTTTTTATGCCTCTGACTACCACTAACCCTTTAAATATAATATAATATACATATATACATAAACATGTATATTGCATAATTTAGTGCTTAAAGTCCCACTGAAAAGTTAGATGAAAATCTCCTAGAAGCTGGCACAGTATCCGTATGTATGATGCATACACGCATAAAATGTGTCTATAAAAATTTCTTAGAAGCATATGCTCTAGCTCACTTCATAAAGTATTTAAGTGAGGTTATTTATATTCGACAAAGCAAACAGCTCAATAACTAAGAGTGTGAAAGAGATAGTCTTCAAATTTTTTAGTTCAAATAACTGCTACGATTCTAAGAAAGGTTAATGTAAAATGGGTTACTAAACTCCAAATGTAAACCTTTACCTACTCACTTCACTTCTAAGTAACACCTTCGCAACCGCATCTTCTGGTGGTTATAAAATATCTCGTCTTTACGAAAATTAGCCAGTGAATATATGGGTTTCATACAGTGAATAACTTCAAAAGAATTTATTTTTGTGTATAAAAAATTTTTAATTTAAAATCATGTCATGTAAAACACCAATAAAACAACTTTTCAATGCTCATTTAGAGTTTTTGAAGCCTCATTCATTAGAAATTTTAATCGGGTATGAAGTAGATGAGCCATGGTCCGACGAAGAAGACATGTCAGATGATGAATACTTGGCTTTCGACGATAGCGAGCCAGACAGTGTGCGATTTGTTCATAGAAGAGAATAGTATTAATTGAGGCATAATAAGTGGTGAAAGGAATTTAAATAATATGCAAAGTATTTCGTATGCTTAAATTAAAAAATGTCAATTGATTTTATTTTCTAAATTTATTTTTAAATATGTATTTTATTTTATTTAAAAAAATAAATTTACATTTCATTTCATTTCAAAGAAATTTGAACTAATATTTATGTTTATTCTTTCATTAACCATTTGAGAAGTTCAGTGTTAGCGCCTAAAATCCTAATCCCCAATTTTACATTATAGATGAGAAAACTGTACAAATTGTTAGCTTTCCTCTGCAAAACACTCCTTAAAAGCTTGATTTTTTAAAAGCTTAATGCTACAAAACTTCTCTCTGCATTTCATAAGCTTCGACAACATTTCTTTAACAGCATTTGTTGGTGATTGTTGAAAGGGCAAAGCGACAACAAATAATACGGCTATAAATGAGAGAATCTCCAGCAATTTGAGAAAGTGAGAGACAGTTAATAATAGTTAATTTGAGTGAAAAATTGAACAGCTGTTTATATGAGTGCAGAGCATAAGCAGCAAACACGTGCACTTCGTGCGGCTTGTGGTGAATTCACCACAGTGAAGCTACCATGATAAGAAGAAAGCAAAGATACAATTTTATAAAAATGTGCGAGAGTGTTGAAATTTGATATCTGCTATTGATAAATTAAACTGAGAGCGAGTGAGAGAGAGAGAGAGAGAGAGACAACAAGTTAACGATGTAATGAGTGACCCTTGTTAATTGTAATTTATTTATTTATGTATTTATTTATCATATATATGTATACATATACTCGTATAAATGTGCGCAATACAATCTTGATGTGTTGTAAATTTATTTTAATTAAAACTAATAGAAAAATGTAAAATGTAAACAGAAAACTGGAAAAAAAGCATTTAAATAAATACTTCTGGGTGCGACTAAACACAAAATTGTTTGACTGTGGTGATACAAAAACAACAAGCAAACACATATACCTACATATACATATGTATGTATATGCATGAATTAAAAGCATTTTATGCAAATAAATAAAGAATAATAAATAAGGGGTGTTCACATTACGCAAGATTTAAAGATTTAACAATAATATCGGATAATAAAATTGTTTTTTTTTTTTAAATTAGCTTTTTTGTGTATGTATAAATGCAAAGCTTTTTATATACATATATTTAAGCAAATTTTTTTCAATCTTTTTATATAAATATATATTTTTTAAATAACTTTAACTTTTTTGTGTTATTTTTTTAATATACTTTTATTTATTTTTTCGTTAGGTTTTTTTTAAATTAAATTTTAATTTATGTCAATGCATTTTTTTAAATAAAACCAAATTTTGAATTATATAAGGTTAAGAAATGTATTTTTAAGAGAAAAATAACTTATATTTATTCTTTTTTTTTGTATTAATTGTTTATTAAGAAATTGTTAAATAAGTGAACTATAACTGTATTTCTTTTATTTATTTATTTTCAGCTTTTTCATATTGATTACATATTACTTTTAAATTTTTAGTTTGTTTGTTTGCTTGTTTTTACCATCAATTTAAGTTCTGCATTCTGTGAATCCCCCCACATATTTTCGAGTAAAAATAACAAAAAACAACAAACCATGGATAGAGTGTTGGTGCATAAATGGCCGTACCCATTACTGCATAACGACCAATTGTGGCATAATCAATATCTTCTTTCTCGGCCTCGGTTTCCGGCTGTACACGAATAAATAAGTGTATTTTATTTGAGTGTATATTTGTATATTTTTGTACATATGTATGTATGGAGGTGTATCGGACACTTTCATATGAGAATAATAGAAAATAACAAATAAAAAATATTAAAAATTATACCACCAAGAGCTCAAGCAAAAATAGATTGTATAAATTTGTGAAGAAATGCAGTCAGGTAATGTCTTTTAAAGATTCTACAGCATATCATGTTGGTGTTTGAATCCTTTCTATTATTATTTGTGATTTAGTTCTAAAATGGTTTCTGTATACGCCGCTGCAATGATATCCGCCTCCTTTAAATATATATAAGCAACGCAAGGTATTACAGAGCGCGTTCTTCTCGCTCTTCCTTAACAGTTTTTTAAATCATAATCCACTCGTATTCTTAAGAATCCTTTACGGAAGCATTTTTTTTCTGATGCTCGCCAGGGTACCAATCTCTATTTTAGGAGTCTGGAATACTCGCTACTGCTTTGTAATCTGAATTATAATCCGAGACAAAAACTTTTCCAACCTTAACCGAGTACGTTCACTGATGTATGATAGATTCATTCGAACTAGTAAAAAGTCACAAATTCACACAGAATCGAAGTGTTCACTTCAATAATTTTATTCACGGCGCCGCGGCTTGTTTGAAGCTAATATCAAGTGGGTCTCATTTTTTTTTTATAATCAAATTTTTATATGTTTTTCCTGTAAATGTATAGCGATTACGTATTTCACTAATGCTCAACTTTGATTAAATAAAAAATGTCACCGTTAAATCTATCCCCTTGCTACACTTCATCACCTTTTCTAATCAGTTATTATTATTAAACTATTTTTTAAAAAGCACATTTATCAACAGTTGGTTGCCTAACCATTTGTAAATATTATATGTTTGTATGTATAGTATAGTATATATGTACGTATAGTTTTTTTCTCTTCTTCACTTTTCATCACTCACAAAGAAAAAATATTAAAAAAATTATTTAAAAAAAAACTCATTTACCAGGACACGTTTCATCAGATATTGCTGTGAGTACTCCGCTCCCACATACAAACTGCCATAGATGGCGCTGTTGGTGAGAAATGGATGACGACGGAAGAGGCTACGCACACCATTAACAAAATTCGACATTTTTACTGGCCTTCAAAGTGCACTTAAGCGCTTGTGTATGGACGTACATATACTTTTATAGTAAAAATATTTTATTTTTAACTACTTTTTGATGGAAAATCTCTATAAAAAAAATTCGGCAAGGCGTTAACTAGACATTGCACACACAAAAGTTTAAATTTTATATCATCGATTCGCCGAATAAACCAGCAGCCGAGCAGTGAGTAAACTGAAAGTCGCTCCGTACAAAAAGTAACTAAATTTTCGCATATCTCAATCAATGCCCGGGCAATAAAACGCTGTTGAGTTTTGTGTTTACGCTCAGCCGTACACGTTGAGCGAGTGAAAGCAATATGAGCTTGGCAGGTATCTACATACATATCTACATTTGTGTATACATTTACTATGCGGCACTTAGTTGTGGTTCTTATCAGTGGTACGGCATGTATATGAATTTTATTTTAATTTTTTTCTTTTTCTTTTTTTTTCTCAACGACCTAATCTGTTTGAGTATTTTCGGTGTTTATATCTTTGACTGATAAGCAGTCTAATAAAATATAAATTATACATATGTATCTGGGGTATACATGTACATGCATATACACGAGCATCTAAATTTATGGTGAGATGCATGAAACGGAATTATTACCTTTATTTGAGTCAGACTGACATACATACATATATGTCATCTTTTCACCCTCAATGGCTTATTGCTTCATTCACTTTGAGGTGTTGTTGTTGCAGAAATAATGCATAATTAGTGGAGCACAAAATATTTGATGACGGAAAAAGTGATAAAAGCTTTTGCAATGCTAATATGGGTAAATGATTTTACACAAAAACAAAGTTGAGAATTTTGAGTAAATAAGTACTGAGTTTGCGTCTCTAAAGATTTCACTTTCATGGCACTTAGGAGGTGTCCATAAAGCAATTTCGAAAACGAATTACGGACATCGCCATTAAATTAGAGATTCAAGAATTTACCCACGGTAAGGCATGTAAGCGACAAAACTCCAATAGTTTCCTCGATAGACGAATATTGATGCCAATACGACCCGGAAGAAGAAGACGGTCTGCTTAAATTATTTTCTTGATTGTGATAAGCCATGAAAGAACCTACAACTATTCCGTTCTGAACAAGTTAGTAGCTAGCCTCCAAGCAGAGCTCACCTTTTATTACTCTATTGATCCAAGTACTACTTTCCGCAAAAGAAAAAAATTTCGCACTGGTGGATACTCTTTCTCGCACTACAGATGTGAGGGGATTTTTCTGAGATCTCGGCACCTACTTTATGAAATCTTCATATATACCATTTTTTTATCCCCTTTCATTGTTTATAATATTCTGTAATTTATATTTCATTTGCAACGGCACGAGAGGAGAAGTTAGAGAAGTTAGGTTGAAACAGCTGATCCTAAAAAGATTTAACATAAGCATACAAGGTATGTCGATTAAGAGGACAGAAAAATGTGTTTTCCTAAGCGCTAGATTCACTCTATATTCAGCTCAGAAAGCTCAATACAAACATATTGGATACCAGAATTTTTACAGGTTTTGGCCTCATCCTCGAAAAAGCATGTTAGTTCAAAAGAGAACGATAAATGATATCATATCCTATTCCTTCCTGTTACTGCCCGAGCGTAAATCGGATAAAGCTCAGTATCAACTATGCGTGCACATTGATGTTAGGAATGAAATTTCTCCAGCTACCGCGGTCTCCTTCCGCCAAAACAAAATTTCCAATCCACAAACGTGGATGTATCAACCCTACGTTCGCTGAACTCATCCTCCCAGAAAAAGAGAGCATTTTTATATGGTCGCACTGGTATAATGAACTGTGACGATAAGCTTCTTTCCACAATTTTAGAGCTCACAAAGAGTTAGCCCCCGATAGTAATTGTCACTTGGTTATCTTGGTAAATGACCACCGTTCTTCTAATAGCAGCAAAATCCACTTAAAAATACTACAAAATTTTTATTCACCTATCTGAAAAAAACTTAGTATTCCTTTTCACCAGTCCTACCATGAAGAAATTATTGCGAAAACTAGCTGGTTCCAGCATGGCGTAAAGTTAACGTGCGGTTCGTGCGGATAAAGTCGACTATTTCAATAGACTTTTTTGTAATGCTTCGAGCGATGCTAGAGAAGTTCAGTATTCCCCTTTCCTATGGGCTCTACACCCTTCATTCTTCCGGTTATCTAATTTTGCTGAAGAATTAACCATCTGATGTCAGCTGAGGACGACGGTCGGCTCGTGCTGAACTCCGCATGAACACCAATTATATCCTATCTGAGCCAATCAAGCATTTAGGCTATCTGAGTTTAACCTCAATAGGACTGCATTTCACCGTTATAGTTTAGGTTGAAATGATTTCTAATATATCTCTGTTACAAATTAGAGCCACGCTTGGGACGATTTCTAACTGGTTTGTAAATAATAAGCCATGGTTTTTGTTATGCTATCATAATAAAGAATATTACATACATAAACGTAATGCGTCGTTTCAGAGAGAAAATTCGTTAGGCTTATTAAGTCGTTAGTTATTGGTCTTAGAGACTGAAGAAAATATGGATATGGGATAATACCAACTGAAAACGGAGTCCTCTTTGTGCAAAATATAGACATAAGAAAGATGCTGAGCACTATTTTTAAGAATATTTGCTCATCGTCGTATGAAGAATTAGCATGGAAATTTCTACCTTAACTTAAAGAGCTTCCACCTAAAAGTCCTTCATAATTTTTTCACTTATTTTTGTACTACCTTTTAACAATTATTAATACCTTTGAAGTATGCTCTACAGGTCTGATTTGTGATTATTTAATAGAGTTTTAAAATAGTTTTGAAAAGCTCATGTGATACTCATGTACTCGTACTCATTACATGCCCGCATGTCCCTTGAGAAAGCTCTTTGAATAAAAATGTTACATATTCTCCAGCAATGAACACTCTGTCTTTATAGCTAATCGCGTATGAATATATCTCATACTCATATACATACCTGTGAGTAAATATGTACTATAAACATAATAGTTCTTGCTGCCTTCCCTTTGATGATTTTTATTTTCAATTTTTCCATTTACAATTTTATTTTAAATTTCCAGCCATCAATTAATTTCATTTTATTTTCTTATAATATTTATACTCATCTCCTTTCAATATGCAACAATATGGAAAACTTAAATGAATGCATCTCAATTTGTGCAACATTATGTGGCAGCCGCAGTGTATAAGACAAAGAAGAAGCACAAAAAAACCACTTTTTATCCCTTTGTCCATTCGTGCGTAAATTGTAATTTTAACTTTCTTCGTGTGTGTGTGTGTGTGTGTGAGTAATAGACATGTGTTTTACATAAAGTATAAATTTAAGTCACTGTTGCCGCTTTTCTTTTGCCATTCGCAGTCTGTTGCTGCAGCAGAGGCTTATACACCATGCTTGAATACTTGTACCGCCTACATACACATATTGTTATGTACATAAATATGTGTGTTGAATCCTTTGAATGCCCTCACAAGCAGCGCCAATTGATAACCGATCAGGCGTAGAAAGCCAACTTTGTATGAGTATCCTTATAAATAAAGGCGCTTTCTGGCACATATGTATGTATGTGTGTGCGTAACGCACACTTTGTGGATATGCAAAAGTATGCATTTGTGTTTGTATATGCTTTCATTAGTTCGTCTATGACTTTTTCATAATTTTTTGTTAAGTTTTATTTATATATACATTTTATGCCTTTGCTGTCACATATTTATAATTCAGTTCAGTTGGCTTAATCTTCCTCCGCGCCCTTCAGGTTTATGCTTACTTAAAATTTAGCCGCCTGTTTGAACGTTTTATACGTTGCCTGGTACATCGGCTTAATAGCTGGCATCACTTTGCCCGGTTTATTGAATTTGTCATTCATAGTGTCCTATGGTTTAACGCCACAAAGTTGCAAAAATATTCATATTAGGGAAAATGCGAAAAATAGTACATTGAAAGAAAATACGCAAAACACCTGTTTGTGTGTTTGAATGTGCTTTCTTTTATGAATAGGTCTAGTACGCAAAAGGTTGTTTAGATTAATAAATTGCTTTGATGAAGTGCATAGGCTGCTTATAATGATAAAACGGACCATTTTTTTTAATTTTCATGAATATTTTCCAGATGAAAAAAATTACTGAAGGTAATTGCTCATTTGCATAAATGAAGCTATCTTATTACTTTATAACTACTTCTTATGCCAATCAGGCGACAAATTTGATTTACACCTTTTTCTGAACAGCGAATTTTTCGTGTAGAAGAAAATTTTTTTTTTTTGAGCTGTTCCTTTGGCAAATTGCCGGTCGATTTACTAATTTTATAGACAAAAAAAATAACAAAAAAATTATTTCCAAACTTAAAAGGATTATGCTGGACAAGAACTTTGCCATCTGTTATCTCCTAACGAAAATTCTACATCTTACCACATACGTTCGAGACCGTGAACTGACAACTGTCTATTCATTTCGACTCCGAACTCGATTATTAGCTTTAAAAATTAGCTTACAGTTATTGGAGTCTTGATTTACCCAAATCCGGGGAATTGCATAATGAACAACATTTTTAAAAATATTCTAAATGGATACCTCAGCCTATTTACGTGGCGTGCTAACCATCAGTAGCCTGTCAGAACCCAGTATAACCCTACTTTTAAGAAATAGATTACTTTAACTAGATTTTCTACAGTTTGCAGTTGACGTTTATGCATATGTGACCTATTAATAAATAAAATAAATAAATAAATGAAAACAATCTGTTTTGTCGTTCCTTGGCGCGTTCATCTGATTTAAGGCAGCCGATAGAAGCAAGAGAGAAGGAGCACACTATAATATATTAATCCATCTCCTGTAAGTATAGTTTGAGAAACCCTTTAATGACTGGTTAGCCAGAAAACGTTGGTTAGTCCACGCATTTAATTATCTTAGATGAAGGACATTTTGTGAGATAAGACATTAAATCCAGTAGCATGATGTTGGGGATTTGTATTTTCTTTGTCCGTTTAAAGTTCAACGTTGCAAAGTTATTTTTCTAGCATCAAGAACTTCTGAGAGATCCTAAATTTCAAAGTGATGCCAGCCAGGCTTACAATACCCTTCAAAGCTTACTATTTACACTCAGCCAATAATGAAGTTAGTTAAATGATGAAGCTCAGGCTTTTAAGAAATATCATAAAATTTTCTTCATTTTTATCACCCTACTTTATGCAATTTTTTAAAACTTCATCATTTATTGTCATTCAAAAATTTTTAAATTTTTCAGTTTTTTAAAAATTCTTCAGAACAAAGACTGGCGCATAGTCAGTTATATCGCTTCGTACCACTCGGCAAGCAACGCGTGTGCATGAAGACGATTAATAAAAACATTTATGGCCAATAATTTCATATAGAAATTGCATTTATAGACTGAAAACAAGTGGACAAAGACGAAGGACAAAAGTATTAAATAAAAGAAAATAAACAAAAAATATAAGGAAATAATAAATCTCATATTTAAATAAAAATATTTGTACTTAGACCAGAACTACGTCAGCAAATACAGCACCATAGAACTCGTATATAATGTCGTTTGAAGCAGCGCTCTATCGGCAATTCGACTTACCTTGCGATCAATTCACAAATAAAAACAAACAACAGCCAGAGGCTGAGTTAGTAACAACAACGGAAGAGGAAGAAGCTGAGCAAGAGGAAAACGAAGTGGATAAAGACCGCCAACCTTCATCAACTTCCCAACAACAACAAAGGGAACGTGCTGCACACTTTCCATCATCAGTACGCGCAGAATTTGCAGCTAAACCACGAAAAATCAAGCCATTCCCATTACCTTTTCTCCCACCAGGGCAAAATTTCCATAAGAGTTGCAGCGGTCACACACTATTTCCGCCAGCAGTGCCTAACTCCAGCAAACCAACGCTGGTCGAGTCACATCATACGTGTACGAATAAATCACCTGTAGCTCAGCCGCAGACCTACAATCTCGTGCAACAGATAATACAAACCATTGGCGAATTAGAGAATACGATACTGGAGGATCGTCAAAACGATTTCAATTTGCGTATTGCATACGAGCGACAAACAGAGAAGTTAAAGAATATGTGTCACTCTTTAGATAAAGAAAAAGAACGTAATGTGCGTTTGATGGAATTGATACGTGGCGAAGATCACGCCTCTGTATCGGAGGATGATGAGGTGGATAATGCATTATCACGTTGTAATGCCACAGAGCGTTGGTCATGCTCATCAGAGGCATATGAGTCGATAAGTCCGTTGTTGATGCAGCAGAGGTAAGCAAGTGCGCGATTTCTATCATACGATGTTGTGTGTGCCGTGATGCGCTGACATGATGACATAATGGTGGAAATGCTATCATGTGATCAATCTATCATGTGATATTTTTATATAAGCCAAAGAATAAGATATCCATCAAATGATCTTGTGCATTATGCGTAGCCTTAAACAATATTCATCACGGTATTTCTGCCATCACGTCAACTCATGGCATCACATCACACACAACATCACGTGATCACAACATTCACGTCATGTGATCATGCTTAGTCAAATAGATGATATCAAAAATTAACAAAAGTTTATTATATTAAATTAAAATTGCAATCTCAAGACGAAACTGAAGTCATAGCAACCTGATTTTTTTCCAGATATGATGAACTTTCCATATCATATAAGCAATGCCGCCGACAGCTCATAAAAAAGGAAAAACTACTCAAGCTGAGTCGTTGTGAAACCGAAACAGCCAAAGCGCGTTATGATAACCTTTTAGATGAATATCTTTTGGCGCAAAAACGTTTAGAGCAGGTATGCTTTAAATATCTGCAATTACAGGCGCAAAAGAATTTGGAGGTGAGTAATATTTTCATTCAATTTCGAAGAATATTTGAAATGAAAAATCTAGTTTTTGTATAAAAGTACATTCATGAAATCAATGAATATTCTTGTACTATACTTCCAATGCTATTTACTAAGGTATTTTAGACCCATGATTGTTTTTCAAAAAATAAAATAACTAATACTATGTCGCTCATCTAATCGATGAATAAGTTTCAACATTTACCGTGTTATTTATTATTTTGTGATGCATTATGAGTTTTCAGGTAATATTACAAAAAATTATTTATTTTAAGTCATACATCAATGTGGTGAACAAACAAATTTTCAATTTTTCTCGTCTTTTTGTTAAAAAAACTTCGTTTATATTAAAAACTGACTCCTTAAATATTTTTTTCATAATTCATTCATTCGATTTATACGCGCATTTTTACTGTAGAATTACTTACATACATATGCATATGGCAAATTAAATCTTCAAACAATTTCTATCCATCTCCAGATTCAACGCCTACGCGACGCTCTCAACAGTGCCACTGAATGTATTATGAATGCTCAACAATTAATCGATTGTTTGGATGAAGAAACGATTACATTATATATGAACGAAAATCTGAATAATGTATTTAATGACGATAACGACGACAACAACAAACATGAAACTAACGAAATGGACTGCATAAGAGAATTTAAACAAAATTTCGAGTTATTTGTGAAGTCTTTACGTCTCTGCCAGTGGATACAACAAAATGCGAATGACTTAAAAGTGGAAGTAAAAAATCAACAATGAAGCTGAGAATTAACTCCAACTATGCCGAGTTAAACTTATATCAATGAGTGTGAGTGATAAGAGTTGTTTTAACTAAAATTTTTCGATGAAAAAAAATATATTTTCTGTAACTTTTTTATACTTTCTAACACTGCTAAAAATGCAGATTAATTTTGTTTCAAAATAAACGAATACTTATATTTTATATATAAATACTTACCAAATAAAAAGAAAATTTACAATAAAAAAATTTTCATTTTTTGTTTTCATAATTTTCATAATTTGTTTTTTTTTTTTTTTTTTTTAAATTGCGCTTTTTTGCTTTCAGTTTGCACTAGTTTCGCCTCTTCTGTAACATTTCAAATTTTTTTGTTCTTTGCCGTTGCTATCATGTACAATTTATGGTTAGTTTTTGCTTAAAATAGACTCTTCATTAAATTTCTTGCTTTTCTTAACTTTTAATAATATTTTACAGTGACATATGAAATATTGAGAACGCTCTATAAAGTAAATAACCAATTTTTTCACAGTGTTCTTAATATTCAAATCACTGTGCATATCTACATACTTGTTTATCATCTTGCAACATATAATAAAAATTTGATTCATTCATGATTTTTTTTCTTTTTTAACAATTTATATATGCCTTAGTGTATATATAGCAATTTAGTCAATATATCTATTAATGATAATTTGTGTATGTAGGTACTCATTTAAGCCAAATTAATTTTTAATGGAAGCATGTTATCGTCAATTTGCATTATTTTTATATTTTTTTTTTTGCATACATAAAAGTGTAGATATATTTATACATTGAGAAATATCGTGTGGTATATTCTTATGTATGTATACCTATTTTAGCTGCCAACAAATTAGTTATTTTTTTATTCACACAAATATTTTTTACTCTACATTATTTGGTAGATTTCATACGGTTATCACTAGCTTTTGTTCTAACAATAAGATTTATGGTCATAAATTTATTGTGAAGTTTCATAAATTATTTGCCTTTATCGAGGACAGATAGCACAGCATCAGTAAATTAAGTTTTGGTTTGAAAAATATATCATTATGTTTTACAACTACATTATATTTATGAACTAAGTAGAATAAAACATGTTCATTGATTGGATGAATGTTTTTATGTGCTTCCAAACTAGCCCTGAATTGTCAGGAATCCATTTTAACAACTTATGGATTTCTTATAGGCAAAAATTAACAATTCATCGAATCGATGTATTCCTAAATTTTTTTGTGAAAAATAATTTTGTTCAAAATTACAGAAATTTTATACTAAACATTTCAAGTATTCGCATTATAAAACAGCATTTGAATGGAAGTTAATATTAATAATTAAAAAAGACTAAATTTTGATTTTATCCAATACAATAAATAAATTATCAAATATTTGATGTCATTATTCCAGTTGATTTTATCAGTAGATAAATTTATGAATTATTTATTTGCTTTAATTCTATGATATTACAATAATTTTATTAACTTTTCGTTTTTGTTTTCTTCCTCGGAGTGCATATTTTATGTAAATTTATACAATTCATCTGCATCGTACATATGTACATATGTATAAGATAAAACTCACGATATTTTGCAGTCACTTGAAAATTCATTACGTTTTTCATTGTTGTCATTTTTTTTTCATTTCTATGCATATTTACTTTTTAAACAATTTATTAAGAGCACGCTATTTTTTAATCTTTTTAACATTTCCTCTATAACCCATACAATAAAAAATTGGCTAATACAATAATTGCAGTTAAATAAATGAGCTTTCGTAATTAATGTAATGTAACAATATATTCTGATGTTCTTTAAATCCTCTCTTTGTGCCTTATTTTATCAGTTCAAATTAATGGTTTGATATTTAATGAATTCATATATTTTTTATTTATAAAACGATAATTTAGAATAATTTTTACTATAATATCTATTTAAGTTTTTTTCATAAAACGCGTTTTTTATGAATATAAATTTTGCTTTTTCTAATGATTTTTTTTATTCTATTTTTTCCTTTATTATTTTTTGTTAAAATTTTTTTTTTTGCTTTTTGCTTTCTATAACTCAACACGCTGTTCAAAAATCGCTAACAATATTATTGTCTGTTCAAACAAGCAAAGCTGCTTGATCAATTTAACAAGTAATAAAGAATTTTTAAGGCAAGTTCGTTTGTTTAGTGTGTTTTTAGTGCTATTTTTTTAGTTTTTATGCTTAGATGACATTACATAATTGTTATGTACTTGATTGGTATAAAAATTAACATTTCATCTCTTCGATGTATTTCTATTTCTTATAATTAATGTTGATATTAAAGCTGCAGAACATAAAAATTATAGTTTTCAGGTCAAACTTAAGTAATTATACATCGTTTGGATGAATAATTCATTTATGTTAAATTAAATTTTGTTTACAATTTCATTATGCTGAACATACATATGCATGTGGATACCTTCATATTTGAAATTATATTTTTATAGTTTCATTGTACTTTGTCATTAATTTCGATGAAACTTTTGAAAGTAGCCTGTAATGATTTAGCATAATTAAGAGATGTGTTGAATGTATGTTTCTTAGCAGAAAGGCAAACATAGTTAATGCATTTTTGTAGCTACACAAATGTTTGTCGCATGAATGTCGCTACATATGTATATCAGCCGTTTCATTAAAAAAATATGTATTCATCCTTACAAGGAACTTTGTTTTAGTCCAGAACTTGCATGCAAGTACTGGTGTCATAATTTTGAAGTTAATAGTCAAAAAATAAAATATTCATCCAATAGATGAAATTTTTTTCGCAAGAATTTATGCATATTTGTAGATAGCGTTAAATTTAAAAAGAAAAGCCTACGTTAAAACTATCTAAATTGCATAAATACGAATATTTACATGTATCTGCATATACATACATATGAAAATATGAGAAAAATGTATACAATACATGACTTTCATAAAAAAATAAATATAAGATTTTATAAAGTTTCACAAATTCGGCAAATTTTGCATTAACACTCAATAAGAGTTATCTTTGCAAGGACAAACAGTTAAAATATTATAGCAAAGTGTGAATATACGTAGTGCCCTGCAGGATAAGAAACACAAGTAATATAAATTTTAGTCAACTTTCACACCACTGTTTCGTTTGTGTGAATGGCTCTCAAACTGTTCTACCATATAATGTGGCGTACATTTTTGATTTTATGGTAGGAGTTGTGATGTGTTTGGTATCTGAATTTACATATTTTTGTATGTCAAAAACAGATTAAAAAAGCGAGTTAAAATTCAGCTTTAGTTAAAGAAAAATTAATACATGATATTGAAAAAATTTCAAAATTTGTATAGCTTTTATAGCAAATTTGTTTGCTTGTGCTGATTTTAGTAAGGTGTGGTGAATAATCTACTATTTTCAATCATGATTTATTTTTAGAACCAACTTTGTCCACAAGTTAAGGACTATTTTAGTTTTAGTTGAAAAATATTCGCATTTTTGTTACGATTTTTTGTTTTTTGGTTTACAATTTTTCATACTTTTTTTGTCGTGGTGAGTTTCCTAACTATTGAGATTATTTGTTTTGCTGCAGAAAAACAGTGAAGTTTTAGAAATTTGTTTAGTGCTAAAACATATCTAAATTATTGGAAAGTCTATTTCATAAAAAAAAAAAATTAATTTAGTTACAAAATGTATTTTACATAATTATACATTGTTAACACTCATCCTAGTTAATTCATTTTTTATGTGCTTAGGGCAATAACTGTTATCGCTAACAGCTTTCATTTTATTACTTAATAATAATTGTTATCTATTTTAAATAGGATGTACATATGTATTAGTTATCATGTATTTACAGTGTGTGCTAATAAAAAGTATCTAGTTAACTTTGCTTCAAATTGCTTGTCTCTTTACGCTATACTAATTTATGAATATTTTTTTTTTTAAATAAGCTAAATTGCTTTTGTGTGATTTTTTAGGGCTTTGAACATTTAAAAATATTTTTAAAATTACTATAAATATTTTCGTATGCAAAATTTATTACTTTAGTATTAAAACAACTAGTCTGAACAAGAAATGTAAAAATAATAAAAGTAATTACATAACATAACTTAATTAAAAATGATTTTTTTTTATTCATTATATTACATACACATAATGTGTATATATAATTTGTATGTTAATTACACTGCATTTCGACATTGGCGATGAAGATGACGACGGCGACCGTACGGCTGGCTGGCTAACTCGACTGGCAATTTACAATTATTTATATTTTACTTAATTGATTTGTTGTTTTATTGTTTTTATTTTATCGTGTGCAAATTGTTTAGTATTTTTGCCACTTTTCGGTTGTAATTTTTTCAAGTTAATTTTATTTTGCTGTACATACAACTAGTTTCGTTTGCACTTCGTTGCAAATGGATGTATTTATTACGTCACATATTCAACCATGTGCTTACAAGCACACACACATGCACACCTCGAACACACACACACGCACGCTTTTTCGTTTTCTCTCTTATCTTTCGGTTTAGTGTTGTTGTGTCACACTTCACGTGCTCTTTACATCACAGAGACGATCATACCACCAGGTCACCAAATCGAATGGTTTGAAATCGCTCAACACAGGGCTAGGCGGTTCGATGCAATAAATCGATGCGGTCGGTTGTGGTGATGTACACACCGATGAGGCAGCCGATGATGTTGAGGTGGATGCGATGGAGGAACCAGCTAAAAGATGGATAGGAAAGTGTAATTAAGCAAACTGTGAGACAGTCAGAGCGGGAGATTAAAGAGCATACCGGAGTTATTGTTGGACTCCGCATGGCCATTGGTTACATGGCCATTGGTTACATGGCCATTGGTTGCATGGCCGTTGCTTTCGAACGCCGCATCGTAGGGATTATGCGCCACAATGACGTTCCAAGCTAAGGAAAGATATAAAGTTGATATTAAAATGACTCACAGAAATCAAAAATCAATACAATAGAATATAAAATGGAAAAGAGCAAAAATATGTAAAATAGAGCAAAACCATAAAAATTCTCAAATCAATGAATTTAAAATCAGACACCGAATTAAAAAAAAAATAAAAATATCCGCTTCCAGCTTCACAGTCGCAGAAGTATTATTTTATAGTTGCCATGACTAACTAGCAGTGAAACAATGAGATGAAAAATCTATCATAATTTTATGACCGTAACTCATTTAGATTGGTTCTATTGATGCATTCGTTAGGATTTCATCGAATCTGTTATGCATTTCGACGTTTTACTATAAATTTAAAAAGCTGTAGCTCTACGTTTGAGCTTTAGACCGCTTGCTTGAAAAGTTTCTAGGTTAGAGTATACTCAAAAGCGTGCCTAAGGTACATGAGATGAAAATTAAGTAAACTGAGAACTTTTCTCGCAAACTATACTGCATAAACTGCGCTCAATACTATGGTATTATTCGAAGTGATACTCGTGAGTATCAAATTCCATAGAAATATTTGGCACTTCCTTCGTTCTTTCCTTATCCCAACACGATGCCCTAAAGAAGGAGTATTAAGTAAAATGACACTGTGTACGTCTTTTAATTAATTTTTATGAATGCCATAAGTGTCCATCTCGCAAGCAATCCACTTGAAACAGCACTTAAAACTCAATTATGTGTATCTATTTATATTTAGTTCTCGTATTCATGTATGTAAGTACTCAGTTTTCACACTTACAGTCATTGATGTATTGTACAATCTCCTCATGTTGCGGCGTTAATGAGACCTCTTCTATTTGTCGGCCATTGGAAGCTGATTTTTTGAAGACAGGACGTGGTACACTGCAAGAAAAAAGAGAAAAAATACTTTTTAAATATTTAAATTTAATAAAACATATTAAAAAATCATACCATTTTTGTATACCATTTTTGTTTATATATTTTTCATTGATTCGGTTTATTTCAATTTTTTTATTTATTTTAATTTTATTTACTTTATTTTAATTTTTATTTAATTCCTTTTAATTTATTATAATTCATTTTAATTTTATTTAATTTAAGTTAATTTAATGCAATTTTTTTAAATTTAATTTTATTCTTTTTAATTTGGATAAATATAATTTAATTTGATATAATTTAATTTAGATTATTTTATTTTATTTATTTTATTTGTTTCCTTGTCTTAATCGTAATTATTTTAGTTTTATTTAATTTGTTATTTTTTATAGAAAAAATATAAATATTTTATAAAAATATAAGAATATTTTTAAACTAAATTCAGATGATGTGAACAAACTTTATACTCTATAATCTATATACAATAAATGTGTATTTATGTATGAGTCCTGGTTGAACAACAATTCATCAAAATTGATGATAGAAATGTAATCAAGTTCCGAAAACATTTATTATGTTTTATTTAATTTTTAATTATTTATTTTGTTGTTAAAATAAAGAAAAAATTAAAAATTTCCATACTAATATATTTTTTTCCTAAAATCAGCAATGCCATTATTATAGAACTCTTTAATTGCATAGCAACAGATTTACAGATACATACATATATGTACACTTGATTTTTTATTAATTTTTGCAATTGTGTAAATATGATTATTTCTTTTATTTGCTTTACTGGCTCACATATATACGAGTACATAGATGACTAGCAGTATTAATGTAAATATGTATTCAGCATTATTTAAATTTTACTTTCCATTGATAATGCCGATATGGGCGAATGATAGGAATAATATGTAATATGTAGTACATCACATGAACAAGAACGAATTTTAATTTTACTCTTTTTCTTAGTGAGAACAACTAGCGTACGAGCAAAGAAATGCCATGAAGAGTATTAAAACGAGTGTAAGTTTCAGGAAGATAGTAGTCACAAACTATTTCGGATCTTTTCTTACGATGTAGTGCTATTTTATTTCACGCGACTGTGCTTTAGACTACGCTTTATATAATAAATGTGAGATAATTTTTTTTAGAAAAGTCCCCAAACCCCTTAAAACCATTTTCACTTTCAAAGTTCTATATTATTTTTAAAAGATTTTCTTTTATTTTCTTTCCTTTCACTTGTGATGGCATCTCACCAACGTGGTCTGAGCAAGAAATATGGGCGTGTGCATACCCGCATACAATTTTTCTCGTAGAAAGAAACATTTAAAAATATATGTTAATACACATATATATACATACATACGTGTATAAGTTTGTATAGTATGTACACCTGCTTACGTATGTTGACATTCCGTGAACGAATTCTGGTGATTTATTTTAGTTGAGGATTACTGACAACCAATCTTCTTGCGCCCCTTAAAGTAGCGATTGAAATGTGATAAACTTGAACAAGAGACAATTTAAGTGCTTGAGTATAGGCGAGGAATATATATATTATTTAAACCAAAATGTATATTAATATATATATTTTTTTTTAATTTTTCAATTTTTTTAACGTGAATTTTATATATTTTTTTTTGTTTGAAAAATACGATTAAAATCTTTAAACATTAATTTCAATTACTTTTAATAATTTTATTTGATAAAAAATGTTGCGTATTTCATTTTAACTGAAACGGCATAATTAAAAAAATTTTTGTCTTATTTATGAACTGGAAAATTAGAAATTACAGTTATTTAACTGCTACAATTAATATTTAAATATATATTTGAATAAAAAATACGAATAATTTTAAATTTGCCTTACATATTAATTATGCAATATTATAAATATGTAAAACATCTATCATTTTTAGCACAAATACTTACCTCGCTTGAAAGAAAAAAAAATTTCTAAATGACGGAACGTCAAACTTGACTGACTGCCAGACTGGACCAGGCAACGATTGTACCGTGAAGGTGCATAGATAACATTACTCTTACATACATACATACATACATATAATTAAATGGGAATATAAATAATTATATAGAGCGCAATGAATGGCAATAATGAGGCAAGGCAATTATGATAGCCCCAAAATTGACCTCTGTCAAGAAATTGGAAGCCGTAGAAAATATCAAACAAATTTATGTAGCACAGCGAAGGAAATGCATATAAATATATTTCCACTTATGCACTTGTACGAGTATAGGCAACTCTCTGTGAAATATACATATACACACTAATGGTTTCTATGGGTGTTATAAAAACATCACCGACATATGGTATTGTTGTTTTTGTAATTGATAAGAAAAGATATAAGCTGATGCACAGTAAAGCAGGGATAGTGGAATCAATGACTTATGCAAGCCAAAGATATTTGTTAAAAAAAAAGTATTAATTATTATTATTTTTAATTCTAAGTTTAAAATTTAATTTAATGCTTTTTAAGCATTTTTTCATTTCAAAAATATATTTGCTTTCTAATTTTAGTGCAAATTTTTAATTAGTTACTGTCGTTTCTCTATGATGTAATTTACAACACTAGTAGTTTATCAATCTTTTTCAATTGTTTTTTTTGTCGACCGATTTTATTTTTTTATTAGAAGAGCTTGAAGCGACTTATATTATCAGCTAAAATAAACACAAATAATATATTTCTTTTAGTAAATTTACGTAATCCGCCACAGATAAATATGTGTGTTTGAGTAATATACCCAGTAGGAAATTTGACGGGAAAAATGTTATGTCTTGATTTAAAATGGAGTTTTCAATTATTTGCGCAAATCTAATTTTTTTTATATTATATATATATTTCATATATTGTTTAAATATTTTTTATGTATTTTTTTTATATTTTTTTTTATATTAAAAAAAATTGCATATATTTTATATAAATATTTTTTATATTTTTTATTTATTTATTTTTTCTCTTTATTAATTTTTTATATTTTTGCTTTTAACTACTTTATTTATTTCCAATTTTTATTTCTTTATTTTTTATTCATTTCTTCATTTATTTCAATTAATTCACTTATTTTTAAACATTCTTATAACCTTTTATTTATTTTTTTTATTTCTTATTATTTTTATTAGATTTTGATTTCGTTGTTTATTTTTCAATTTTTCTTATATTCTTATTTTAGTTTTCTATTCATTTTATTCTTTCTTTAATTTACTATTTATTTTTTATTTGTGTTTTTATATGTTCAAGTTATTTTATTTATAATTTTATTTTTATTTCTTTTTGATATTTTAATATTTTTGTTACAATATATTGTATTTTATTTATATTATATTATTTTATTTTTTTCATTTTTTATTATTTTATATTTCCTTTTCATTAATTTAATTCTTTTTATTAATTCTTTTAATTTTACTTATTTCTTTTTTTTCATTATTTAATTGTATTTTTATATTACATTTTATTGTTTTATAAATCTTTTTATTTTTAAATTTTATTTTCATTTGATTCTTTTAATAATATTTTAATATTTATTTTGATTTAATTTTTTTTGTTTACTTTTTTGTTCATATATTTTTTTTAATTTTGCTTCGATTTGATTTTCTACAAATTTTATTTGATTTTGCCTCGAATTTCCGACATGGTACTCCTACATCAATTTATACATACACTTATATACATACGTACATATATATATTTGAAAATATTAATGTCTTCAGCCATGCTTTATCGCCTTGGAATATCAACGTTATCACTCATGAAGAACTTTACCATGTGAGCACACAAAGACCGGCCCCCAACTATGAGGAGCACGTTGGCTACAGCAGCAGCGGACAGTAAGCATATATTAAAATAAAAATTCTTAGAAGGAATACACACACATATATTAGAAATATGGTTTCGCATTAAAATTTATGCAGCTCCGTTTGAATGCTGATATTTTCAATATGTTTATGTACATACATATGTGTGTTTGTATGTATTTAATCAAGGCGCAGGCATCACCAGCAGAGAGCGAACATGTGAGCATTTCATTTTATTATAAAGTGAATGAATAAATATTGACTTTTTGCATTCGTCATATCCACGTGTTGCGCTGAAGAAATGGAATAATGGTTACTTCGTGTATGTATGTACATACATATATATTTACAAACGTCAGTAGATATGTATGTATTTTAATAGTTGCTCTAGTTTGTGAACTACATATATATTTATATGCAGGAAAAATATTTATATACGCATATTTACACATGCATGTAAATATGTTCGTTTACGTCCATACGTGTGCATGTGTGTATGCAGTTATATTGCCTTTAACAATTAACAGCTTCAACTTGACGGTTTCTAACCTGCCGCTGTATATATAAGCGGGTAATGCTTTCTAACTATTGATCCAAAAAATTTAATAAATTCCCTTGCATACATACATACATACATGTACACAAATTTTTTTGTAAAAATTATTTTTTATTTCTCCTAAAAATGTCTATATTTGATCTGTAAATTATCATTTATTGCGTGTTCATAAGTAATGACGTAAGTATAAATATGTAAATATATGTGTATTTATATATTTAACTTTTTTAATGAGTTTTATAATATCAGTTATCAGCACATTATCGACGCTATAAATTATAATCAGAAATGCCTTGCTGAATTGACATAAAATGCATGGGAAATAGTACTTTTAATAATATAATTTAATAATTTAAGGTGTTGCTTTAAATAAACTGTTCATGTATGTATTAAAACAAGCAACAAATACAACTAAAGAAATTAGAACTAAAATTTTTTTTAGAAGAAAAAACCAATTTAATTAATTAATATTTAGCTAATTTAATTTAATTTAATTTAAATCGATTTTATTTCACTTATTCTGATTGAATTTATAATTAATTTAATTTTATATAAATTAGTTTCAATTGATTTAATTTTTTAAATTTATTTTTTTAGCAATTAAATTTTTAGTTAATTTAATTTTTGACCATTTATAATTTTCGATTTATCATATTATTTAATTATGTGGTTTGATCAATCTAATTTATTTAATTCAATTGACCTGTTTGGATTTTTTATTTGATATGATTTAATATAAATTAATTTCATTTCATTTAGTATAATATTAATATGAATATTTTTCAATTAATTGATTCTAACTTTTATATTTTTAATTAGTTCAAATTGAAGTAATAAAGTTGTGCTTTTTAATAAGTACTATTAATTTATTTTGTTTTTTACTAATTTCATTTAGCTTAATTTAATTTAAGTTAGTTTAATTTAAATTATTGCTATTGAATTTTAGTTAAACTAATTTTAATTTAAATTGTTTTCTTTATAACCTATTTTTTTATTGATATTAACATTAATAGGATGAGTTTTCATAATGTTTTTTAACATTAACTATAATTTAATTTATAAAATCGAATAATTCAATCATTTTAATTTGATTTTATTTATTGATTTATTTTAAACAAAATTGATTCCATATTTCTTGATTTTATATTTCTTAATTAATTCTTAAATATTTATTGATTTTTTAGTTAATTTGATTATGTTTATAGTTAAATTAATTTAAAAGAGGGCTTAAAACTGTTTCTTAATAACTTTAATTATTAAATTATTTTTTTTTTTTTTTTGATAATTTTATTTAATTTACTCAGATGTTTTTATTATGAGTGGATTTGGATTTCGTTGAATTTGAACTGACGGTATTTGTTTTAATTTATAATGTAATTACTTTTAATTTTTTTATTTATTTAATTTGAACTTTAATTAAATTTTTAGTATTATCTAATTTCTTGGTGTCTTTAATTATGAATACAAATTTATATTTTTCAATAAATATTTTAAAACTTCGTTAATTTAAAGCATATGAAATGGATTTGTATTTAATTTTAAATTATACAAAAATTATTTTATAGTTAGTTAGTTTAATTTAATATTTATTTATATATTCAATTTACTTTGCATTTTTTAAATTATTAGTTTAATTTCCAAAAAAAATATATGTGTTGGTTAAAATTTTTTAAGTAATTTTCATTAGTAAATTTAATTTTTTAATTGCTTTAACGAAAATTGATAAGACTTAAAAATGTTTACTTCATTTATTTTAAAAAATTACAATATATTTTCCTTTTATTTATTCAATTTTAAATTTATAGGCTTAATTTTTAATTTTTTTTTTTTAAATAATTTAACAATCATAAATCCTAAGACTTCGCAGTAACATATGTATATAACAAAAAATCTGTTTGAAAGCGCTGTCAGTCGTTATTTGTAATTCTTTTAAAAACCAATAGTTGAAAGTAAGGAAAATATTATTAATGTTATTAATATCAACGTAAATTTCATGTTAACGAAGTGTGAAAAAAAATAAAATTTTGCTTTCGCAATATTTTTATTAATGCTTTGCCCTATATGCCAATATGTACATACATACAAATGTGATAACCCTTATGTTAATTTTTTCTACGGCTAATGTTCTACGACTTAAAACCCTGAGTAATTAAAAAAGAAATGAAGGGAAAAGAGAAACAATTAACAAAATATGCACTTCATCTTTATGTATTGCACTTTATCAAAAGATTTGCACGAACATACTTAATACAGTTGAATATTTGAAATTGAACGAAAAAGAATCAAACTAATTGCACTTTGAACGGCTCATGAGCAAAATTTATTACGAAGGAAGAGAGAGCACACAACTCGACATACATACATATGTACATGGAAGCGTGACAAAGCGAGTTTATGAACTGACTAAAGGTTTTTTTATAAATATATGTATATACTTTTTTTATTTATTTATTTATTTATTTGAGTGAAATATAATTATTAATAATTACATTACATAGAAGGCAACTAGCAGCTTGGGCTATCGGCCACTTTTTTTATTATATATATTTGATAAGCATAACGAAAAGCGAAAAATTAAAAATAGAAATTAATGAAAAAATAATGAAAAAAATTTGTGTACACAACTTGAGAATTTTTTTTTATAAAATAAAAAAAATAAAGTAGATTTGTGTCCGTAGATAAAAAAAAATAGCAAGGCATGTGCAATATTTGCATATGTACATACATATATAGAAAAGCAAAAGTGAGTTCATTTCATATTCAAATGAATGGCAAAATGAAACATTCGAATTTCACCACAGTTCTTGAAAAACAATAAATAAATACTTAGATATACATATAGACACACATATGTATGTAAATATTATATATGAAACAAAAATATAAATTATTCAGCACATGATTTGTATTAATAGATCTACATACTGGTATGTGTGTATATGTATATATAGATATGTATATGTATATATAGATATTTTTGTTTACTTTTCTTAATTAATTTATGAAATTAATTTTTGTTTTTTCTTTGCGTCTCACCATTTCTGCTCCGGACTATTGAGATCTGAGGACCTGCGTCCGCTCTCTTTGATTTCGAATAATTTCTCATAATTTTGTGGAACACCTGCAAAAAATAGAAGAAAAAACAGGAATTCAAATAATACAGTTAACAATATTCAAAAACAAATTAATTGGCATAAACAATAAGTAAACATAGCAACAAGTTTTAATAAAGCACTGGACTCATTTAACTAGTTCGCCACGAAGGGTGTGTATATGTATGTATTATATATCATTGCTTCGTATAGCTTGTACTCTTAGCGCCACCATGCACTGTTGTTGTATGCAACCAATAGAACAAGTATTGAAAAAAAAATTTAAAAAAAAAAAATTAAAAAAATAAATTAAATACAGAAATCAAATTAATTGACCGCTTTTGTTTTGATTGTTCTGCTTGTATTGCCACTTACGTTGACAAGCAGAATGGTTGTTGTTGTTGTTGCTTTTTGTTATAGTTTATACTGTTTCAACCATAAAGCCGGCAAACAATAAAAATTCATAAAATGCACACATCGAGTAGAAAAAAAAAAACAAAAAAACAAAAAGAATAACAAAACATTGCGTAAAAGCCCACCAAAAGCGCTCAGTAAAGGTGCTCGCGTACACTCTCTGGCTTTCGCTCAATTACTCCATATTATACTTGGGTGTTGTGCGAAAATTTCTTGCCCACAGATATGCGAGTATTCGTACTCATTTCTACTTAGTTATATGCATTCGAGTGACCAGCTGTTCTGGGACCAAAGTTCAAGTAAACTCACTTGGGGATATCAATTTGATTTCTATATTAGTAGTGTTGCGATAATAGAATACGCTACTGAAGTCTATAGAAATCTACTTTAAAGTATGTTTACTTTGTTGTGTTCTGCTCAAGTGATAAGTAGAATTAAAATAGAATTGGCTACTTTAATTTTTTTCTATGAACTCTTAAATCGCATGCGTATAAAGTTACAAAAACTACTCTCTGCTTTATTTTGACAGAGTGACGTCGTAAAAAATGCAGTTAACTGTCTAAATATAACCGCTATTATTTCGAGAATTTGGCAGTAGTTAGACTTTGTTCTTTCATTCTATCATTTTTAATGAATATTGGTTTACTTCAATTTCTATTACTAACTTCTTTTAAAGGGTTATTTGGAAAATTCTGACATGTGACTCTCGTGGAGTTGAATTGACATTCATAGTGGAATTTTGGTTTTCATCGTGCCCACTAGAAAACACTAAAAAGCTATATGAGAAGGAATTTTTACTCATATGTGGTTTAAAAGTAGAATCGCAGCCAAATAAAGTTTGCCCTTTGGACTTACTCATTTTTACTTTATACCTATTCGAACCATTTACTTCAACTTGGAATTAATATACAATTACCTAAAAAGAGTTCTAATATTTTTATTATTATAAAAAACCTTAGATTCTGACATTCATTTGACTTCAGAATTATTAATTTCACTTCAAAGTGGTGATGAATTTAATATTTTCAAGAATTCGTTTTCTTAAGGGTTTGATAATATAATTCTTCAGAATTTTTCAGCCTAGCACCTCTTACTGCTGTGCAGAGTCATTAACGGCATGATGACCATAAAGAAAAATTGGTCGTCAAATTCGTTGGCAAAAAACTGAATACCAGATCACACTCATTACTACAGACCAATTGCGATCTCAGAGGTCAATGCAATGAGTATACCTTAAACAATAAAACTATAGAAGATTGGCCAACACAATCGCCAATTAAAGGCATTTTAATTGAGAACATGTCAAAGCAAAGGCCACGTTAGGCTACATAAAGTCCAAAAAGGCCTAAAAAAATGTGGCCTACAGCCTCTCCCAGTGCAAATATTCTGAAAACTTATAATTAATTTTGAAATTGTTTAACCATAGAAGAAAAAAGCCCATTTTCCGTCAAAAATTTAGCAGACGTAGCCTAAAAAACATTTCTTAAAAGGAGCTGAACACATTAAAAGTCCCAGACACCTTCCATTGCTAACAATTTTTGACTGACGTAACCGAAACAAATCTTGCGAAATAGCACAGTACGCCTGGTCACACTAAAAAATTTCGCATGCTGATTTTGTAAACATCTGTTCTATTGGTGGGGGCCTGATTCTGCCGCGTTCAACTCAATAACCACATTCAATACGCTCAAAATTAGCTGGAGCAAGCTGGCACTTCGCTCCACATGAATATCTCAACGAACGAGTTGGAGCTAAAGAGCCAGAGTGCTTTCGAGAAACATGTGAACTAGAAAAATTTACCACAGCTAGAGCAACAACAAAGCACTCATACACGCTCATTAAACTTACAAAATGCTCGCGAAACATGTGCTAGGGCAGCGAAGGGCGCCGAGCGGTGTGGGGCGTGCGGTTGGTTAACGCATTTGTATGCCTCGAGATTTTTGTGTGTGACATAACAACTTTTTGATTTCAATTTAAACAAATTTCCACGAAAGTTATATCCTTTTTAACACTATTTCGAGACTTTGTAGATGCACATGATTATTGAACTGTTAAGCGGAAATGCATTTTTCGGCATGTAAATGAAAAAAAAAAACCGTAATTAATAATAATGCTATTGATACTAACCTCTGCGTGTTTTGGCCACAATTTTGCTGGGGCCCTTGGACACGGTCAACATTTTATTGACACACCGAAGCGAAGTTGAGGATTACAGGAATCGCGTGCTCGTTGAACAATTTTCACTGGCACTTTTATTCGTCACGCTGACCAGTAACGGCACGGGCGGTATGGTACTACACGTATGTTGCAGCGTGTGTGTTTGCAAGGGCGCCTATTTATTAGCGAAAATTTTAATTTCAATCTTCTAACTGCAGTATAATATAAATCGCATTCAGAAAATTGCATTTATCGTAACCGTCGCGCAATTTAATTCTTTCAATTGCATATGTATATGTATGTACATACATATGTAGTACTCAAATGTGCATGCACATATAAAATTTTATATACATACGTACATATGTATTTATGTATGTCTGTACATATGTATATGTATGTTATGCAGTAGATTCGCTTTGCTTCGCCTCGTCTAGTCAGTGACCGCACTTGTCCTTAACTTTATCACTTTACACGCCGCTGTCCTCGTCCTCTATGCATGCGCACGGCAATAACACTCGACTTTTGTTATTTAATAAAAGAAAATGTTGATTTATTGCCTTTATTTAAATTGTTTGCGAATTTTTCCTCAATTCTTTTATATATTGTTATTTATGATTATTATTTATATGCGTCAATAGAAAAAATAAATCAATTTTCAACTTTCATTACAACTTCAAAATACATATTTCCTTAATTATTATTTTTAACAGCAGACTTAAGGGCGCCTTAACACTTTCTTTAATTTTTTTTTACATAATATAATAATCAGCAAGCATAGTACATGTATATATGTATGTATATTATTATTTAAATTATTTTGTACACTTTCACTAGAAAATTCCGTAGATATATCTACTTATACCGAATATGTTATGTAGCCGCTTTTTGGTCGTGAAGAAAATAGGAAAAACAACGTGCAAATCATTCTCAAAGCGGAGCTGCTGATTGAAGTTATTTTATTATGCTCTGTTGTTGTATAATTCACCACTACCATCACTCGTTTCGACTCTAATCGTATTCTACAAATGTTCTTCAATCTACCTCACGCGTATAATATAATATATTAATATGTGTAAGTGTAAATATCACCTCAACCTTAAATACCGTTGTTAATTTCTCAACTTATGAAAATCAACTGACAGCAATGCCGGCCAAACACCCCACATTATACGCCGCCACCACCACCATCATCGCCGTTGTCGCATAGCGCGCCTACACGGTAGTATCTCAAAGATACAGTAGGAAAATTTTGTATGCATCTTCGTAGGCTGTCCACTGTGGCGCTCTCCCCACACTCTCACTCACACACACGCATCAAAGCAAATGTCAAATGCCGCTACTCAGTCTCTACCACCCCATAATGTACATACTTCCCCGTTAATAACTTGACGAAACAGCTGTTTTTGTGTTGTGTAATCAATCAGGCTCAACGAACATTTTTGCAGTGATAAGAAATAAACATGTGATTCATATCAATTTAATGCGTGGTTGTGGTGCTTGCTATGCTGGTTAGTTAAGACGCAAATCTTTGGAATTTGAGTTTATTTTACTGAAGGCGCCCTTAGTCTGAGTTCACATGGGGATACTTTTTGTCGCTAACTATTGTTTGGTGTTACGCTTCACATTCACACGGAGATACTTTCTTCAAGAAATTTTTTTGACATTTTTTTCTCCTTCATTCCTTCCTTCTTAATTCTGATTTATTTTACAACCACAATTTTTCGTTCGCTTCGCCCTTTTCAACATTTCTAAACTAAAACCACTACATGCATATGTGTAAATGAAAACACAACTATTATATTCTTTTATATATTTTTACATTTGATTAAACATTAACTCTATCCTTTTCAAAATGTAGTCCTTTTCGCTATCATCAGAGTCAATCCCAAGGGTTTCTTCCACCCATTCCAGTATGTCTTGCAAACTCCATTATCTGTGCATTACCCGGGCATATATGTTTGCATGCATATAAATATTGTTGTAAAAACCCAAATGTCTATTTCCAAACGTACAACATTCATTCGTTAGAAATTTAAGACAGCCATAATCAGTTCAAATTGAAAAATAAAATGAAAGGGTACGCCATAATTTACAGATACGAATAGAAGCACAAAACGTGTCGAACGAGCACAGCGACACTGTGCGCTGTCGCCTAAAAACCAGAGTTTCGTCGACAAAAAGTATTCTCGTGTAAGCTCGGATTTATCGACCGGTTAAATAGAGTCCAAATAGAGGCGAATTTAGCCAGTTGAAATTGTTCAGTCAGCGAATTTAACATTTTTCACTTGTTGAATTCGCCTCCAAATGAGGAATGCCAAGTGTTGTTTGCTTTCATTGCAATCGCGTTTCTATTTGTGTCTTCAAATCAATGTTTATTTGTAAATTGCCGTCTCGTAATTTGAAATACTTAATAATTTTTAAATCATAATCATGCATTGTGAATAGAACATAAAGGAAGAATGTACTACCGATATGCAGAAATTCAGTAAGCAGTAACTCAAATGGAATCACTATGGAATTCACCTAGTCACTTGTGTCACAAAAAAATTTTGTTAAAACAAACTATTTATTTGCTGTGTTGATATAATTTTCGTAGAAAATAAGAAAATGGAAAAGGAAGACAAAATTTGTCCAGTCTTAAAACAACAAAAGATCCATTTTCGTTGGAAGAGGCTGCCTCAATCACTATCCTGTAAAACAGAGTTCCGTTTGAGCTGAGAGTAATGCTGCCACTACCCATCTTATGTATCTACTACTATATATTTTGAGAGCCGATGCCGATGCCGTTAGTGATGGTTGTCCAGCAGAAAATACTCATGTTTGTGCATATGTATATCCTATTACAGTCGGGTTTTATGGCTGTGCGGTATGTTAGATGGGTAATTGTATCGTAATATAAAATTTTTAAATTTGTTTTGTAAAGACTTGTAAACTGTTGTAAATTTTGAAATAAAAAAAAAATTGTAAGCCTCTACATTGTGGTATTCAAATTTGATTTAGAAATAGGTACACATTAAAGTTAAAAACTTTGTAAAGCTCTTTAAAAAAATATTTTGAATATAATTTTTGTATTACTCTGAATCTTACATAAATCTTAACATCCAGATAAATCTCTTCACTTCTCGGGTACTAAGTACTTAAAATAAACAATTATTTAATTAATTTCGAGAAGGTTATATAAAAATTTATAGTTTGCGTTCGAATTTGGCTCAAAGCAAAAATCAGGAAAATATCGGCCGAAACACGGTTAGATATTCAATTATTATACGCTTATATGCAGCATAAATCATTTGGGTGCATTTCATATAGATTCCCTGGCTTTTTTTTAAACTATTTAATCGATGGCATACATACATATATCAATATGAAATATTCCAACAACATAAAATATATTTATGATATTAGTTTTAATGACACACTCAGAAGTCCCACGAAAAGCAAAAATGTGCTACCTACAATTGCTTGTAATAGTTTTGGGACTTCCTCGTCGTTAGACAACTAGCTGAAAACTCTTTTCCAAGATTCGAATTCTAGGAATTATATGCGAGCATTTTCAATCATCGCACTTTACGTGTAAGGCGTTGACGCTGCAATCCCTTGCACAGAAAAAACTACTAGTTTTAGAAAAGGATTTAATACAGGCAAGAAAACGAGTATTTATGGAATAATTTAGGCAACGTTTATGAATAAATCCATAAAAATAAATTATATATGAAATTTTTATATGCGGGTTGAAATTTGACAGAAACATAATGTATTCATGAAGGATAACATAAATATACCTAATGTATAATGAAATATTCTTTTTTTCACTAAGAATTACAAAAAAAAGATTTGACCCAAGGTCAAAAACACAATGCAAAAATGATTTGAAAATCTTTGGAAAAACGTATAAAAAGATATATGTAGTCAAAATATTCTTTTAGTCGTCGAGTACCGGTGGAGTCCGGTAGAAGCTTGGATTAGTACAGAGTTGAAGTCATATTATATAGATTGTAAGAGGTAAGTTATATATAATAATTTCAAAGGATGAAAGTGGTACTTATGCAAATAGAAAAAAAATATTTTTTCAGCTTTTTAGTTTCTCTCTTTCTCACGCTCTCTCTCTCAAAGTACAATGGATGAATATCTCGCAAATATACAGCTAACCGGCTATTTTGATAATCTCAGTATATCACGAAATTCACCTGTCGGAGATCAAGAAAATAACACTTGTCCTAGACTGCCATCATCTGAAGAAACAAAGGAAGCTGCAAGCAGTGCAACAGTTTCTGAAGATAAAGTCAAAACACCACTTATGCTGCAATCACTACAGATAGAGTTGCGGAAGAAAAAGAAACACTATCTGCGTAGAATCCAACCATATATGACATCGGATAATTTAAATGCGTGTAGAACTTTAAAATTTTAACCCAACGGAGCCCGATATGAAATGAAACATCTATAGTAGAATGACACGAACACATGATCATGCAAAGAAAATTTAATTTTTAAACTTATTTAACAAAAAGGGAACTAAAAATTTAAAACTTAGGAAAATAATATCAATAAAACAAAACAATCAATATGTATCAGTTTGCTTTACGAAAAATATGTTAGTGTGACATATATTTGGATTTTGTTAGTATTTAATTTATGTACTTTGCCGAGGAACGTATGTTAGTTAATTAATTCATTTACGTTCTTTGACTTTGCGCTCACAAAAATTTCAATTGTGAATGAATACAAATGTTTTGAAACAGAAGAAGCATGTAAACAAAGCAGAAAATTTTACCGATCAACGAAATTTACTCTAGGAAACAATAACAAATTGCTTCAGATATTCCCTATAATTATTGAAAATAGCATAAAATGGATACAGAGCTGCCCTCCACCAGTGCTAGCGCATTGGCTGCTTGTAATGCCAACAATAATTCACAGACACAAGATTACACACAACTTACACCAGAGTTAATGCAGCGTAAACTATATTTTCTGGTGGATCAATTGAAACAAATGCATGCACAATTGCCAGAGTAAGTTAGAATGCCTACTCATTTTCATGTCAATTGTAGTAAAATATTTTTTTCTATAAAGAAATTACCAAATACGCATTTCATATGAGCTGCTCACAGAATTGGCAAATTCATTGTTAAACGATACGATCTTTGAAATTGTAAAAGGACTCATGGAAATACAAAATGTTACTGAAAAACATTTGCTAACACTACGTAAGCAAGTAGAAACAGATTTTGAATTGGAAATGCAGGAGTGGCGATCGAAAATTACAGATCCAGAAGAGTTGAGCCACATAGAACAGCTAATGCAGGTGAAACATACGAAAAAGATGCGTGAGACAGATATGAAATTGATAGCATTGCTAGATCAAAAGGTAGAATTTACTTTTAGTACGCAATTGAGAAACATATTTTTTATTTAATTGTAATCTCTAAATTAGGTTAAAGATCAACAGAGCACACTCAACAAGGCCGGTATTGCTGGCTTTTATGTCACGGAGAATCCACGTGAAATTAAGATACAAATGTTTCTTTTGGATTTCATTATACGCTTAAGTAGAATGAAATTTGAACCGCATAAATAACAGGAGGAGTAAGACGTGGCCTTCACGTTACACACAAAAATACAGATTTAAAATATTCTACATATGTATATTTAAAAACATTCATAACGTCAATATGTCATTTGTCAATTTTTTATTTTATTTTATTTAAAATGAATTACATTTAATAACAATATAAATTTTACTGTTTTTTTTAAATTAATGTCATTGATTGCAATATATCAAAAAGAGTTACTTCAATTACTTATTTGTACAGAGATAAGACAATTTTTTTTACAAATCGCACTTAAGTATTTAATTGCCCATTTCTTTTTATCATTAATGACATTTCACTTTTATGATTATCATCATATTTTACTTGTTTTGCCTTTGTCTTATTGGCATAAACTCGATGTTAAATAAACATAGGATTAATTTGATATGCAATACATTTAACAATTGCATTTAGAGATAGAAAACGAACTGAGCTTCAAATGAACAAAGGATAATAAAAATGCAAAATTATGAAAGAACAAGAATTTATAATAAAAAAAAATGCGGTTGTAAGCATCTGAAATACGTTAATTTCATGTCTTTTAGATAATTTATAGGAAGAATTATGCTACGAAAGTCCTCTCCTGAAGACTTAATCCAGGATATGCTTCTATTGTACAACTCAATGAAATGTTGAAAATCTGGCTGTTATGTGGATTTTTAATAGACTTTGGACTTTTGGGATTTTTAATAGACTTTGGGCGCTGTGGTGTACGCTAGTACTCAATAAACGTTTCTCTTGAAACAAGTGTTGTTTCAATTTACCTTCTTTTGTGTCGAAAATTTGGTAAATATTTACAGCTGTAGCCGAGTGGCGCATCACATACGGGATTACCAACCAAGGATAAAGCTAGAATAGGCGACTACTATTGACCAATGGATTATATTAGACGGCAGGTCCAGGACAGGTTCAGACCAACGGGAATGGAGGGAGCGCTATGATAAGGTGCTATGGCCATTCGAAAACGTGGTTAGTATCGTTCGAGCACTAATTTCGTGCAGTACATAAGTAGGGTATGTCTGCATCAAGACTGAATAGGTACGAATTTGGTGCACTACAGTATCCAGTAAAGCCATCAGGGACGCTTGCGTACTTTCTTCAAAATAGAATCTTATTCTTATTAAGACACTACCCATACTTCGTGCTCTCAAACCATTATCCTTCTTTGCCCAAAAGCTAATTTTTTTATGTAATGGAAGACCTCAAATTGCACGGATTCCACTCGAGCTTTTTACTTCTCACTCTAACACATTTTTTAAATAAAATTTTTAAATTTCTAATTTAATGTTTAACGAAATAAAGTTGAGCCATCAAGTATATGATATGAAATATCTACATCTCACCAATACATTTGTATAAACAAGCAAACAAATGCCACTCACCGCCAACTGCTCGTCACTATATGTTCATAAACCAACTGCGCTTCCGTAGTACTATACTCATACGCACCCATATCAATGCTCAGCCCGCTTATGTGTGTGTGTGTATCACTACAACTCATTCTCAAAAATTCAAATGATACTCTTTTTATATATAATATTTTGTTTTTGTTACTGATAGTACATATGTTATTTTAATTGTTATGAAAAGCCAAACACAAGACCATTTGCTTGTTTAAATATAATATGAGTACCAAATAAAGTGCGCCAACAACAACTTACTGAGAGATCACTCGCCCACTCGGCGGTATAAATAGAGCGACATCAAACATGTTTTTCCAATATAGTCTTTGAACTAATACGCAGTGGAGCACTGTACGCTAAGAGAGCTCTTGAATAAAAGTGTAGATTTTTACGTTGAAAAAAATAATTAAATTAGGAATTTCAAAAACTTTTTATTCCAATAATTGAAAATTAAATTAAAATTCCTTTTTTTCATTAAAAAAAAATAAATTAATAAAAAATGGCTTTGGAAATTACAACCACTGACTACACTTTGCCAGACTTGAAAGATATCGTAAGTATTTATAAAATATAAAAATATATTATTATACTAATATAATTATTTGAAACATTTTAATGCAATAATATTGCTCTTGTAATGTGACAAAAATAGCTTGATTTGTGCGTATGACTTTGTTATTGTGATGTATTTTGAAACAGGTTATTTGGTGTAGTGATTAAAAACAAGTTTTAACACAGTGATTGCCGAAAATTTCAATTCAAAATTTTTATTATTGTGTACATATATATATATATATATTTTATCATCGGCTAATTATCTTGAATATGAAAAAAGTTGAAATAAAATTGAGAGCACTATATTTTTTTTAAACTAATTGAAATAAATTTTTATATTTTCACCCTTTTCTTTCTGCGTAACTATGTTAAAATTATATTAATGGTGCAGTGACTAAATCCGATGTGTTTAATAAATTATTAAAAAAACCATTAGTTTTTTAAATTTAACATGAGTATAATTGTTTTCAAAATTAAAGAAAGTCAAGATTATATTTTTTAATGTTGTTTCAAAAATTTGAATATATCTTTAAAAATCTTTTAAAAACGTCTAAGTATTCCAAAAATTAGTAAAAGAAATGTAAAATATAGCTTATTTATTTCCAGGAATTTTATAAAAATCCAAAAAAAAAATCCCTAAAAAATTATTTATACATTTCTATGAAAAATACAATTTTTAATCAAAATTTTAAATATAACTTTTTTCTACGATTTTAATACTTGAAGGATAGCCTAATGGTTTTAAAAATAAAATAAATAAATTATTAAATAAAAATAAAACTCAATTGTCTTGGAAATAACATGTAGACAAATCAGCGTCGTAAAGTAAAAAAAAATACAAAAAAATATAAAAATATATACTGTTTACATTAAAAAAATTATAAGTATTAAAAGTATTTTTTTATTAAAAATTTATGTTTTTAATATTGCATTCTATACCATAACACATATGTATATATATATAAGTAGATAATTTGATTAATTTTAAATCTTTTATTTTATTGATTTATTTGACTTATTTTTTATTTTTCTTAAGTTCCCTTATATGTACAAATGTAACTCAATTATTATTTTTTCCTTGATTGATTTGATTTTTTGTGAATTAATTAGCTAATTAATTTTTTTTATGTATGAAATAGGAAATTTGCTTACAAATTGAATATTTTTGTTATATTGTACAATAAGGAAAAATGGTGATTAACTTATCTCCTCATCAGACTTCTTATAGCAGGGATCGAACCAACGGTTCCTGACTTAACAGGTTTTTTTTTATTTTTTTTTTATTATTATTTGTCCTTAGTGAAATAAAAGCTACAAATTAAATTTTTAATATTTTCAATGTGTTAGTAATTACCACCAATTACCAAGTCCAGTTATACGCACAACGGATTGGTCAATATGTCAAATAATCGTCAAATGAGCAAGCTTTTTTCCCTCAACAACTTTCGTTGTAAACAAATTGTGATGATTACACAAATAAATATATATGTCCAATATAAGTACATACATTTGTATGTAGGTATTTACGTATTACGAGCCACCCAGAACTGTGCCACCACCCTCTGTCCCTTCACATACAAATATTATATTATATTTTAACTACACAAAATTTACCGTTATAAACTGTAACACTTTGCCACCAAGCAGTTAGGTGACCTAAAACCTTTGCTGAGTTCAGTTCAAAAAATTTTCATAAATAAAAATGCAACACCAACGCTGCAGCAGGAAAGCAAAAGCTCAAGTGCGCAAGGTCGGTAGTAAGCAAAAGAGGCACACGAAAAAATAAAAATAAATAAGAAACCAATAATTTTGACTAGCTTGAATATTTCCTGTGTATGTGACAATCAATTGAAAAAATTCATTTCATCATTCTGCGTTGTTCAAATTTTTATATACAATTTTTCGAAATCAACAATAATTTTATTTAAAATTCTAAATTAAAATAAATTAAAATAAATTAAATTCAAAATTGTGCACTCACGTAAAATAAAACAAAACATGACTTTAATACGCTGCAGTCGTTTAATCATCAGAAGATTCTGTTGTGCTTGTCCAACAATAAATATTGTAAGCTTGTTTATGTAAAAATAATAGTTAATATTAAAAGAAAAAAAATTATTAAAGTGTATAAGTCTTCAGTATGCGGAAAGTAGTTACAGATTAGTGCAAAAGTATTACCTAATAACATTTCATAATTCAGTTCCATTTCTTACGCTCAAATATTGATTAACATCTAACGGTTGTGCAATCAAAAAGTGCAATTTCACAACTTGCATACAATCAGCTGTTTCTAGCATTCGCCTGAATACATTTTTAGCCGCTTTTTTACATACGTACATACATACACAGACACACGTTTATTTATATATATTTGTGTACAGGAACTGCCTCTAGTCGCCGGGTTCGGTAGTTGTTGCTTTTCATACTCTTTTATTCTATTATTACGTAGCCTTGCTAAAGTTATCCTACAAATTACAAGCAGTAAGTAACCCATCCACATATATGCGTACATACATACATACCTACCTACCTTGCACCGTTTGTCAAGGTCACATTTGTTTGGTGCATTCGCCTACTCGTCGTCACGATTCACGTGCTGTTGCTATCGCGCTACATAAATATGTATAAATATATATATATTTCTATAACTACCCACGTACAAATATATGTATACATACACATATATATATACACGAGAGTGGCTTTAACCCTTGATGTTAGTAAGTGACCGACAAAAATAGTAATATTTATTTGCATAAAGGAACACAAAGAGTTTTTTTTTGGAAAAATTTCTCATCCTTTTTTGGTGTATTATGTATATGTGTATATGTTACTATTTAAGCAAATCACTGCAAAAATTTTATATTAGGATATTACAGAAGGTAGGAATGGTCTGGATATCGAGCTCCAGTAATAAAACGTTATTCTAAATTATTTCAACTAAAGATCATTTTACCTTAGAAAATAAGGTATTCCACAGTAGCTTCGCAAGATACAACTTTTTGATGCTTAGTTAGTTAGAAGCTCTTTAAATCATTCGAAAATGGTGCAAAAATTATTTCGAAAATTTTTTCATATACAACACATAATTCTAAAATGCTTTTTCAATAGAGTATCTTTTTAATTCCTGAAAATTGAATAATAAATATAATAATAAGAAGCCCAATGAATACCCTCCACACAGTCAACAGACACGAGAGGCGACATCCGCATAACGTACGGAATATGCCGAGTCATGATGGGGAAGCGTCGAAATTTAAAACTGTTCAGCTACAGCGAAAACAATTATTCCACAGCTGAAACTTAGTAATTAAAGAAATTTTAAAATTTAATTGTTGAGAGAACCAATAATAGTTTTTTTGATGCTAAAAAATTATTTATTTATTAATTTTCATATACTTAAAAATGTAATAAATTTTTTTAAGGTTAAAATTGTATTGAAATGCTTTGAAAAGCTGTTTTTAATTATAAAGCAATTTTCTTAATTTATATGATTCTTTTTCCAAAATGTTTACTTTATTGGCTCCAGTCACTCATGATATTTACTGTTTGTTATAAACTTGAAGAATTATTTTTATAAAATGGCACAATTCCTTATGCTTGGCAGCCCAGTTTCCGCACACGAATTTAAGTTTATTTATAAATGTTAAAAGAGGTTGAATTCTTCAAATACTCATGTTGATATGCTTGTGACTCTCTTTCGTTAAAAATGTACTAGTTTCTTCAATAAAAATCACCGAATTTCGAAGAAATGATGAAAGATTTGTACTGGCTTACATTAAACTTAAGTAACTTTCTACCACTACGCTGCTTTTCATATAGAAAACCGGTCTTCAATGAGCAATATTTGCCGGTTACCATGATATTGGTGTACAACACATACATATGTACATGTATGTATATATCTTGCACCCCACATTTGTATGTACACTAATTCATGCACAGAGTCAACGCCGAATCGACGTTCAACTGAACACGTTCAATGCGACAACTAAGAGAATTGTTGTAGAAAAGAAGAACAACAAATGCTCCAATGTGAATAATATGAATTTAGTTTTATTGCTACTTTCCACGGAGAAAGACAGATTTTTCTATTGTAAACAGTGCAGTGTGTTGTGAAGCGTGTAGAAAGCTTTAGAAATTTCTACAACTTGTATCATTTTTTTTTTGTTTGTTTTTATGTGAAATGTGGATACAAAATAAATATTCCTCGCCCAACAGGGAACTACGAATCCTTTGTCGCGTCAGCAGCCTGCTTCTGTTGCTGTCAAATTTGACATTGGTACTCGCTGATAAAACCAGCTGTCGATATGATGTGTTTAGCCCACAGAAAGCGACCTGCAATGACGATATAGCACCGAGCATAATAATTGTATGAATAAAAAACGAGTGTAAATTATACATACGTACTAACTTTATGGAGATCTAGCGGAAACGCCTACAAATTTGCTTGGGAAAATATGAAATCTTATTTTTGTCACATAGCAATTGAAAAAATGTAAGAGGAGTCGTCCGTGAAACTCCTCCCTTTGCTTTTGATTTCTTAAAAAAAGAGAAAATATTGAATTTTATTTACTAAAAACTTCCTTTTTTTCTATTTTCTTGCAGACCACAGTGCGCGCAGAGCAAAAAGAGCTGAATGTAACGCCCGTTCACAGCGTGAATGTACCCGTTAAGACGGCCACTTTTGGCATGGGTTGCTTCTGGGGCGCTGAGTCGTTATTTGGCGGTACTAAGGGCATTTATCGTACTACTGTGGGCTATGAGGGCGGCTCTAAGGATTCACCAACGTACCGTAACCTGTAAGCGTGTGTTCCAAATACTAGAAATCACTAACATTGTTTTGTGTTCTTTTTTTCGTTCTTTCTCTCCTTTTTATATAATTTTTTTTTTGTTGTACATACAAATATTTCTTAATGCTGATTTCCTACCTCATCGTTTATTGCTTATCTAAACATTGCAATTAATATACATACAAACAAACGTACCTTATATCTCACACTTTAATATTTCGTTTTAAAAATGCTTGATGACTCGGTAATGCGTGTTGCTAATTTGTATTAAATCACATTATATTGGTTTACTCTAAAAAATTCCTCTTTTCAAATATTTGTGTTTCAAAATATTTGTAAATTCATTTATTATTTCCTTTTTTGAATTTATAATTTTTTTATTTCCTTTTTCATCACTTTCATCATTTTAATTATTTCTATTGGTTTTGGTTTTCTCATTAAAATCTATCGTCACTTCATTTCCGTTTTTCCACTTCCGGTTTTAATTTTGTTCTACTTTATATCACTCAATCCACCTCATCCTTTACATTCACTTCTTCCACTTTTGCCTCTCTCTTAACTAACACTTTTCTCTCTACTTTTCCTCTTTCTCCTCATGTACGCTTCTAATATTTACCTTTGTATGTCGACTTCGAAATCTCTATAGTGGTAATCACACTGAAGTACTGGAGATTGATTACGATCCCAATACGATTACGTTTAAAGAACTATTGGATCTTTTCTGGAACAATCATGAATATGGTCTCACCAACCCAATTAAGCGTCAGTATATGTCCCTCATCTTGTACCATGATGATGAGCAGAAGAAAATCGCTGAGGAGTCCATAGTTGAAGAGCAGAAGAAGCGTGTACCTGAGAAAATTATTACAGAGATTTTACCCAAAGGCAAATTCTATCCAGCTGAAGAGTGAGTATTTCAGGGATGCCCACTTTTTTTTTTTAATTGAAATTAATTATTTTTCATTTACCTTCCACACAGCTATCACCAGAAATACCGTCTGCAGGGTCATAAGGATCTCGCTGAAACATTGAATCTCGATCCGAAATTACTACGCACCTCTTTCATTGCGACCAAGTTGAACGGCTATCTCGCTGGCGTTGGTGGTGTTCAGCAGTTCCGGGAAGAGGTTGATAAATTTGGTTTGACACCATCGCAGAAGGAATATTGTTTATATCATGTGGAGCAGAATGAGGGCGCGGGGCTGTACTGCTGACCGGTAGGCGGTGTGTCATGCAACTATCGCAGGCGTTGCGGCCGGCTGATTGATGTGAAAAAGCAGAAATATACCACGGACTCTGCATGAATTTACTCATAACTTATTTGTTACAAACAATTTTTATCACTAAGGTGTTAATTATCTCAGGCGAAACATTAAATTGCTGTTTTGCTTAAAAAATTCGGCGGTGTTTGCGTACATCGGATTGAATGCCTTATGTATTATTATATTATTAATATTATCTTGACATTAATACGCAATTAGTGTGAATTTAGGACATTTTATATAAGGTATTTTTTTTTTTAATTTTAAGTGAGTGTGATAGAAATATTCCAGGATAAAATGTGTGCTACAAAAACAGAAAAGAAAATAACTGTATTAGAACTATGAAAATAAAATAATTTTTAATGGCAAATATGAAACTCATGGAAATTTTATTGTTGTACATAGGAAACAGAATTGGGATTGGGAAGAGGACATAGAAAATTCCGCCTTTCGAAATTGCCTTGCAATAGTTGTGGAGAAATAATAGTCGCGTTTTCAGATAGAAATCTATTGAAATATAGGACACTGAATCTATACTCCTAACCAAGCTTTTATGTTGCTATAGTTTCGCTAATTGAATTTAGAAGAGGAAAACTTCTTCCTTCTTTGTATCTCTAGTCGTTATCATTTTAAGTGGCGTTGGGCTAGACTAACTTAAGTTTATTCTGTGAATCCCTGCAGAATAGGAGAGGTGGTAGTGTCTTAACTGTCTATAATAAATAAAAATTCGACAGTCATCAACATCTGCAAAGTATCAGCTATATTTTCAAAATAGATCTAGATGCCCTGAAATTAACGCTTATTGAATGTACCATACACTAAGTTTACTATAAAGTGATATCCTGTACATATAACTAAAACCTTGTTTTATGGAGCCTTCGTTGCTCCGCTGATTTTCATTGGCTCGACTTCACCCCAACGGCATTTATTATATAATATATTGCACCTCCGTGCTGCCACCGAGTAGCTTCTCGCCCACCATTCTTTCAGGGACTGAAGAGAGCAAAGCCTTTTTGGGAAGTAGGACCCAAGCTTTCACTGTCTGTTGAATGCCAAATCTATTTTTTAGTTTAGTAAATTTTTAACTATTTTTTATGTTATTTTATTATATTTAATTCGATTTTTTTTAATATTATTTTTTTAATTAAATTATATTTTATTTTGTTTTCACTAAACTATTTCATTCCTTTTCAGTTTATTTATAATTCGATTGTATTAAATTTAGTTTTATTTTATTTTTAATTATTTTATTTTATTATATTTTAGTTTATCTTATTTAATTTATTTTACTTCATTTGAAATTATTTCATTTTTCTTTGATTTATCTTATGTTATTTAATTTAATTTAATTTTTTTTTTATTTTTTTTTTATTTTTTATTTCACATCAATTCATTTTATTTATTTTAATTTGATTTAATTTTAGTTTGATATTTTATTTTATTTCATTTAATTTGATTATATTTAAATTAATTTAATTTAATTTAACTTTATTATAATTTATTTTATATTATTTTTTTATTTTTTCCTTTTTTTAATTTAAATTAAGTTTAATAAATTTTATTAATTTTACTAAATATGCATTATCTATTACAATCTCGATTTATTTAGAAATTTTCACACGTGCAATTTCTTATCTGAAATATTATTAATATTTCGTATATTTGTAACAACCTCTTATTATATTGTAGTATTATTCAACAACTTTTTTCCGGCGCTTATTTTTTTTTAATAAAATACGCCATGTCATTTAATGTACAACTTGTGAGTTTGTAATGACAATAAAGTACAGACTTTCCCTCGCCTTTTTTTAGGGGAGTTTGTTTATTAATTGTTGTTATCATTTTTTTTTGTAAATTCAAATGCACGTACAATAATTAATGATAACCCGCTATTGTGATTAGGCCAAGACGTGACCGAAACTGATGCAATAAACAAATTAATGCTAACTATTTTTGGTGTAAGTATAAATATTTGTATGTATGCATTTCTGTTATGAAATTAAACAAATAATGTCTGAACGATAAGGTGAAAAAAATCTGTGCGTAGACAATAAGTTAAATGATTTTTTCCTAATTATTAACACATTTTGATTATGAACAATTTTTTCTTCTGCTCAGAATCGAGTATTTTTTGTTAGTCAAGAAAAAAAATTATTCCACATAAAGCAACACTTGATTCATACAGTTTCTTTATGTGAGAAAATTTAGTAGACAGGTTAACCTCACTGACCCCCAATTAATTAAATCAATGTGATGATTGGATCAACTCTTGCTACTATTTTAACTGGAAGTCTAAGGTCTCCCCACTTCTACTCAACCACTTAACAGTCGTTTATGTGCCTACTCTATTCATCAGTTACCCAATATAATCTGACTTCCTAGTAAGGACAATTTCAGCATGGTATTTTTCAGTTATATCATCCGATATAATAAAAAAGCTAGATATGTTATTGGTCTTTTGTAGTACCGTAAGGAAGATGTAATAGTCATTACGCAGAACGTGAAAGTTTTTTACGCAGTTTACGGGCCTCTTTCCTCACGTTAGCGGAACTACGATGTCTCCAGATATTGGAATCTTGCTGCTTATAAGTCTGGACAGAAGTGTTTCATCGCCTATATAATGTCTCTTGGGCTACATTTTCTACATTTCCCTGTTTCATTTTATAACATAATATACCACCTATCAGCTATCAAGGTATATGTATGGAAGTTCGCGAAGACTTCCGTCTGAAAAACAGTGAAGAATTTTTGTAAAATCATAATAATAAATTCCGCGTCCCGCTCTCCTAGCCTTTCTTGATCCATACGTGTAAAACTTACAATACCACAGTTCCTCTGGCGCACTGTAGTTTTTTCTGGTATGAAACCTGTTTTGACTGCCGTTTAATCGCTGATAAAGCTACTGAGTTTCACCTGCAACCATCAATGTTAAAGCGGATTTTGCTGCGATGTTTTCCGGCGCTTTATCGGTTGACAGTAAACGGAGGAACACTTTTGAGGCATCCGTTAGAGAAATTATTAAGCAGTGTACAGCGAGTCGCTATATTCTTTCCATTTACAACACACCAAAGCAGCAAACGGCGATATATTCTCAACTACGGCAATAAGACTGTTATCTAGGACATCTCGGAGATAGTTTGTATGATCTTTGCTATTCGTTGCTACTTCGAGATTCTTGTTGGAGCCCTTTAATACTAGTTCCACTCTGCTCAGCCTTGGCATTTTTTATGTAGGAGGTTGGGATGTGATTGCTCGGACAGTTGAGTTCCAGAGCTTTTATGATTAACTTCTATGCCCTCTTATTTTCGGCAGTTGGACCAGTCAGAAGTCTCGTCCGTTGCTCATCAACAAATGTTTTGCGCAGTAAAATTGAAAAGTGTATACTCTTAAGCATATAACTACATAGCTACTTATGTACATACAGGTATTTAAGTGACTCTCGCGGTGCTCTAAAAAGTTATTGCTCTTGCGACTGAAAACTAAATAAACAAACGACTTAATCAGCTGGTCGCTGAATGTGAGACTAGAATACCCAATAGCGCCAACAACAACAACAACAATTGAAAAATGTACTATTGGAAAAAGAGCCAACAAAACATGTTTTTATTGCGCGAACCACATACCCGCCAACGGCTAAGCGAGCCCAAAACGGGGCGTCTTGCGGGGTACGGAACTACTATGCCAGCGCATGGCATGACATTGCCGCTATGCGATTGTGAAAACAGCGTGTAAAAGTGACTTTTTCTGATAGATTTGTTTACGCGTTCGCCGACTTATTTAAAATGATTTTCAAAAAATCTTTTGACCCTCTAAACCATAACGAAACCGGGTCATATGGGTATCGTTGAGCTTCTCTTAATGTCTAGTATCAGATTTCGCTTGAGTCACAAAAATCGGTGATGGCGTTTAGGAGTTATAGAAAATCACGTTTTCTGAGCAAACAAATAGTACGATTTGTTTCAAAATCACTCAAGACAAACTAGATGGCTTGACAGTTGTGTGTGCCAAATTTCATGCGATTCGGAAGTCGGGTTTGGCTAGGAGAATTTTTACAAGAATTTTTGTTATAAACTCAAGCGTTTGGCCGCCGCTCGAGACGAGTCACAACATTTCCCATAAGCAAGCGACGTAGACGTAGACACGTTTTATCAGTGAAAATAGAAACAGAACGGCGTGCGGCCAAGTGCGATGTAGATTTGTACGTTTGTTTGCGCTGCTTCCCCCAAACAACGTCATCGGCCGTGTTGATGGGTGGTGTTGGTAGGTGAGCTGGTGCGGGTGGTGCGGGTAGATGTTGTTGGCAGCGATAGCAACACCATAAGAGCAACAAGTGAATTTAGTGGAATAGTTGGTTATGAACATATGTATACATATACATACAATTTTAATAATATAAGTAAGACATGTTTTTTGATAATTTTCTAATTTATACTATTTTATAAAGACTTTTGTACATATATACATACATATGTAATGTATCAGCAAATATCTTAACCAGCTTATGGTGATTACATCGCTACATTCTCACATATTTAATACCAAATAAATATTTATATATAAATTTTAATATTTAACATATTTATGCTTTTATTTTCATTTTTATTTAATTTTTTATATTCTGTCTGCTTACCTTTTTCTTTACGTGCCGTACTTGATACACTAATTTGCATTAGTTTTGCAAATAAGACACTTTTGTAAACTAATTTATATTAGTTAAGTGTCGTGTAGATAATAATTTATATATAAAGAGGCAATTGAATTTTATTTAGTTATTTACATATGAACCTACATACATATGTACATAGATATTTGAATAAGTTTGAAGTTTAAATTAAATTTTTTTAAAAACAAAAATAAACAAAGTTATTATTAAGAAAAAATTGTATAAAATAATTAAATTAAAAATTGTTAATTCTTTTTTAATTATAAAATTTAAGTTTTTAATATATTTTAATTAATATAAATATAAAAAATGTGTAATTATAAATGATAAAATATTAAATTGAAGTTGTTATATTAAAATCAAAATTTTCTTAAAAAAAAATTAAATAGAGACTGATAATTAACTTAAATTTTAAAATTATTATTTAACTTGAGACTAAAAATTTATAAAAATTTGAATTAAACTTGAAAAGAAAGTACATTTATTAAAACTATTATTTTTGTAATATTTGTAAGCTTTAAAAATAAAATATATAGAAATAAAAAAATCAATTAATAACTTATTTAAAAAAATATATATTAAAATCATTTTTTTAAATATTTTTTAAATAACTATATTAATGTTTTTTATAACTTAAATAGTTAAAATTATTTAATCAAAATTTTTAAAACACCGTTTTAATTACTGAGTTCAGGTTTTTAAAATGT